CTGACCCTCTGGCACATATATCCCCAGTGCCGTCTGCTGCGCATCAAAGAGGCCACGCAGCTTCCCGGGTATACGTTGGAGAGCGTCCCTTGGGACTTGGGCCCTGTATGGGGCATGTCCTCCACGGGGATGATAATACCCCTTAAAGTATACCCCTCCATGAGGGTCATGAAAGGCGCCCAGCGTATCCCAAAAGCCCCTCGTGTCCTGTATGACAGGGGCACGCATCACAGGGGTGGGCTTTGCAGCCTCGTGCGGCACCTTGGCACGTCCACTTTGATCGGCCGCCATTTGCTGGGCGCGGCGTTCCTGGTATCCAGGCCCCGGTTTCGCCGGTTTGTAGGCAATTTCCTGCCGTCCATGAGAAATCTGCTTTGCTTCTTGAAGCTGCAAAAATGCTGCATAATCCTCATCTCCCATGATGGAGCGCAGCTGTGCAGCTTTTTCTGCATCCGCTTTCGCTTTCTGCAAAGCAGCTTCCTGTCTTTGCAGGATCTCATAGGTCTCCCGTCTTTCCCGGGGAATTGGACTGGCAGGTTCACCTGCTGAACCGAGATACACAATCTCGTCGTTACCAGCAGAATCACCAACTTCTGCACGGTTACGCATCTGTGTATTCTTCACAACAGGTCGCAGCAAAGACAGTTCAACAGGATGATTACCTGAAACTGGCCTTTGCGGGCCTTTGGATTCCTCCTTTGCCTTTCTAGGCTGTATTCTCGCCTTTGCAGGCGGGTCTTTTGCCTTATCAGGCTGTTCTTTCGCCTTTGCCTCTCCAAGCGGGATCTCCTTCTCCGGCATCCTTTGCACCTTAGGACCGCTGGTTACCACAACCGATGGCGATGCCGGCTCCGGTTGGATAGGGACAAAGCGGGCAGGGTGGTTTACACCACTGTCACTGCCGCTACTGTCCTGCTGGTCTGCCCAGCGGGTGGAGGTCCCCTCCTTGGCAATGCGGGCAAAGGCCTTAGCCTGCTCGGCCGGGTCCAGCTCATCGACCTTGGGCTGTACCTCCAGGCGCTGCACCTTTTGGCTGCCTCCTGCGGAGAAAAACCGCTTGATCTCAGCCTTGCGCTGGCGTTTGTGAGCTCGCTTACGCTCATACTTTTCAGGATTCAATTGACGATCCCGCTCACGTCGCAGCGCTTTCAACTCTCTCTGCTGTTTGGCCTTTCTGGCCTTTTGCTCGTCTAGTTTCTTGGCACGAGCAAAACGATCTCGGTTACGAATCCGTCGTCTCTCCTTCTCCATTCTATGCACTTGTGCACGGGTTGACATATCACCCGGCAAAGGAGAAGCACATGACGAAAACGACAATTCCGAGATCTCCTCCCACCGCTCGTGGGGATCATTAGGGTCTGGTCTCTCTGGACTCCCCTCGCTCAAGTCCCATGGTTCCGGGATATGCCTGAGCGCAAAGGCCATCTTTCTGGCCAATTTGGGTCCTCTTTGGCAATTTGATCTGCCATTCCAGGACCATACCACCTTTGTATTCTAACCAGTCTGGCGGTGGTTAACCTTTCTCCAAACTGGTCGGCGGCCATCCGCCATCCCTCGTCAAGCTCATCGACGAGATCACTGTGGAACTTTGTCCACATTGCACGGCACGGTGGTTGCCGGCTATATGGATCTCGAGTGTCTGGAACGAACTCCAGCACCCTTGAGCTTTCACCCGGCCCCCATTCTGGTAGCGCAGGCCTCCGAGGGCTCCAATTATGGCCTCCCGGCCTTGGCGGACTTTTTCCGCAAACAGCTTGAGCGCTTTCTGTGAGCGACTCATCTCCAGTCCCGTCCGATCCACTAGGTGTTCTCACATACACCTGGGATTTGAGCCGTAGCTCCGGGATCTTGACCTTCCGGCCTTGCATTCTCTCAACTCGCCCTAAGGCTTTGGCCTCCCGGCCTTGATATGGAGATTTCTCACTTTCCATCGGCCGCTCACCTGGCGATGGACTCTTCCGCTTGGAGCGCTGCTTGCCAGCAACCTTCCAGTCTTCCTCTGGAATGGTTGGCATGGGCAGCTCCGACGGACTGGGGGCCCTCACAGCTGGCACCACCTGTTGGGCGCTTCTCTCTTCTGCCTCCTGGGCCAGCTGCTTTTGCTTCAGGAGGCGGTCACTCAACGCCTTGACCTGGTCTTCGGCGGAGGTTTTGGCTTCTTGTGCCTCGCGGCTCTGCTGCTTCGCCTTCTTCATGGCCAGCTCTTTCTCTCGAGCTTCTTTCTTGGCCTTGTTGACGGCGATCTCCAGCGAGGCGATCCTCTCAGCGGTCTCTTCATCCCGCTTCGCTCTCGCCTTCTCGGCCGCGGTATCCGCCATCTTCTGCAGGAGCTCTTTGATACCAGGGATCTTCAGCAACGTCGCCGCCGCCTCAACGTCCTGGTCTTGCTCCTGCGTCTTCTCCACCGCCGGCGGGGTATCCACTTCTTCCATCGGCTCGTCTTCTGCTGCGGGTGCCGATGTGGCTGTGGAGGGTCCAGCCATGTCCTCCCGGACTGTTACACCTCCTGGCCCATCCCGGGCTTGTTCAGTTCCTTGCCCATCCCGGGCTGTATCGATCGCCTGCCCATCTCGGGCTTGTCCTTCCCCCTGCCCATCCCGGGCTTGTTCCTCCGATTCCTCAGCCTCCATGGAGGAGGCCGGGGAAGGGCTCCGGCGTCTTGTGCTCTCGCGCGCTCCCAGGTGGAAGCGTGGCCGCCACCCTCAGGCGGCTCCGAAACCAAATATTACGAATAGGATGTGGGTGTGGGGTTCCTGCCCTCTTTGAGCCGCGGACCCGCCTCGCCGGGCACCTAGGTCCTTACAGGGCACCTAGGCGGGACCACCCCTCCTACTCTCGTATCCTAATATGGATAAAGGTTACATTGGGTGAGGAATAGTACGTGCCTTGGGCAGGGCGTCCCCCACACCAAGGGCCATTAATAGGACGTCTCCCACATCAGGCTGGTGCGCGTAACAACGCGTCCCACTCACGAGGGGAACTTGATCAAAGGCACCTGGACCGAAGGCGTTGGTTCCCCAAACCTCCGTTCCGCGAAGATCATGGTCATTGCCATGAAGTTGGTGCGCATGATGGCACTTAACTCTGCGTGGAATGTAGCTCTGCGTCGACGCAGAGCTGCTTCGTGGGGAGCCCCAGAGGCGGTTTCGCTGGGCGCCACCAGAAGCGTACCTACCCACCTGCGTGGAATCGGGCTCTTGGGGCCCATGTCCCAGGATCATGCAGCGCATCGCACACCAATTTGCCAACTACGGATCCTGTCACGAGTGTGGCGCAGTGCGCAATCCACAAGGATTCGTTGTGCCATTCAAGCTGTGACTGTGATAGGCGACCAGGTGCCAAACCACGCAAGAGGAAATTATTGATTCAGCTGAGTATTCCTCCGATAAAGCGTTGCTAGCACCCGCTCCTTGGCTGGATACCTGCCCAGGTGTTCGCGCATTATGGTCAGGCCTCAGCAACACAGAGGTCCACGCCATGTCGTCTGTCGTGTTCTTTCATGCTGACCGAGTCAGTGCACCAGAACCCACAGCGTCGCTTCAACCCAGACTGGCAACTGTCTATCCAGACTTCTAGTCTAGCATGGCTATGTGTAGCTCTTGGGACAGCCATTACAGACACTCTACCAGCAGTGGGCCTGGGGCCCATGCGTCAAGTGGGAATGTCCATGCAAACTGATGCAAGCAGTAACCCCATTCCTTTCAGTCAGCTGAATGCACTACAGCAGCAACAACGGTAGTTTCCTGGCGTGTGGTCGCTTTTGTGTCAATTGCTTACTGTGTGCCTTTCTCGTTTTGAGCCACATTAAGAGCCTTTGCATGGAGAACACGCACATATGCTTTGGCCAGGGATATCGCCAGGTTCGAACTGCAGATGGATGCCCGTCGCCTGAAGTGCGGAAGATACTGCTTTGCCCTGAGACGGCGATTGGAATCCAAGATGCTTGCAGCATAAACAAGCAAAAGCCAACCACATGGACATGTCTGTGAAAAATGAGACTCAGTGCAAACATCGCAGGGGGAATGAAGACAATGCAGGGCAGCCAAAATTACAGGATTTGAGGTCAAAACTAAGCACATGGACTCCCATGTCCTATAATGTATTTCCGTGGCAGCTTGCTCAAAACGGTGACGTCTTCACGCATGCCGAAACTTCCCACAACGGTTCGTATACAAATCTCTTCTGTGCATATTCTAGAGCGCTCTAGAGATCACATCGTCATCTTCATCTACATAAGCATCAACTCCCATGGACTCCAAAACACAAGGCAACAGTCCAGCAGACGTCACACTGCATGTGCCAGTGCAGCGACTCAGGGCCAGGGAGACTCGAATGTCATTTCGAGCAAGCGGAGTACAAAAGTCGAAGAAAACTCTTCGAAAACGGCGACACGGCCATCCGTTATTCCTCGCCTTGCAGGCTCTGATGCCTTTCGCAATGCGGAACTGCGCCCTCCACACGACTCAGATCCGCACCCAACAAACACGCCGGAAAAAAAAAGCGCACACCGTACAATACAGTACCGGACCCCCGATTTAATTTTCGAGCAAGCAGAGTACAAAAGTCGAAGAAAAATCTTCCAAAACGGCGACACGGCCATCCTTATTCCTCGTCCTGCAAGCTCCGATGCCTTCCGCAAAGCGGAACCGCGCCCACCACACCCATGAATTCCGCACCCAAGAAAAGACGCTGGAAGAACAGACGCGCACAGCGTACAGCAATATACCGGATCCACAACTGGGAACCACGCCCACACTACCCAACACCGCGCCCAACAGAAAACGCTAAGAAAAACGCGCCCCGTAAGGTACAACACCGGGCCCCCTGATGTACATGCCCACTTCCCCAACATGCATGAATGGTGATCCAACAGAACGATGCGCCCCCCTTGTTGCGACTGCGAGACATAACGGCGGCGCCTTCGCTGACGCCTCTCAAACACATGGCGTCCAGGTCAGCGACGTTCGGGCCCAGCCGCCTCCTCGCCGCCGCTGCTCTTCTCACGCACCCCCGCTCGGCATCAGGCTCATCTTCGAGTCCCCTCCCGGGCTGGCGCCGGCGTCTGGGCTGTGCATCATGGCGTCCATGTACGGCGGCAGGATGGACACCGACAGCGTCAGCCCCACGAGCATGCCGGACACGAACACGCGCTGGGTGCGCTCCAGCGGGGTGCCCGTGGACCACAGGCCCAGCTGCGTTACGGCCATGAACAGGACCTGGACCATCCACGTGCACGCCCACAGCCACGCGAACACCAGCCGCCCGCTGGGGCGCTGCGCCACCGCACGCACGTAGCCCGCCAGCGACGCGAAGGTCACCAGCAGGCCCGCGGCGATGTTGAGCTCTGGGTAGGCGATGAAGTAGGGCGGGGCGCCCACGCGCTGGGGGCCCTCAAGCCGCCCCTCGCCCACCTCGTCCCTGATGAAGATCCCGATCGCCAGCTGGGAGACGCCGGCCAGCAGCGCTAGGGTGGAGTAGTAGACCAGGCGCGCGGCGTAGTACGGCTTGGTGTACTGGGAGGCGTCGCCCGCGCCAATGCGCCACAACTGCCAGGCGAAGAAAACCTGGCCGCCCTGCAGCGCGCCGCAGTAGCCCGCGGAGCCGATGATCCCCAGGGTCACGACGCCCCGCCACTGGCCCAGCGTGAGGTCGTCGTGCCTGGAGGCGTCGAGCTTGCTGGCGTCGAAGGCGGGCTGCGCGAAGACGAACACCACAAAGGTGAACCACAGCGACAGCATCAGCATGACGCCGGCCCCCGTGATTGCCGCGCTGTGGTAGTCGAAGGCCATGACGCCCAGCGCCAGGCCCAGGCCCGCCACGCCCGCCGCCACCTCCAGCAGGGCCCCCACGAAGCGCAGCCACTCCGGAAACGTGTCCCCACCCATGCCGTCCCAATCCGCGTTGGGGTCTTCGTCGGAATCGTGGTTCAGAGCCAGGACGAGCGCCACACGTATGACCCCCTCCACCAGCAGGAAGGCGGAGAACAGGCCCAGCAGGCCCGCCGTCCGGTTGACGTTCACGCCCTTCGCGTCGGCCATGGCTCCCTGATGCGGGCGGCAGAGGGCTGGCGGGCTGCCGGCGATATCGGCAAGTCGGTCTTTGGCTCTGGTGTGAGAGGATGTGGGTTTCTTATCAGCGACAGGAGACTGCCTTGGGAGGTGATGCGTGAATATTCACCCGGCCTTGGCACCAAGGCGTCCCATCATGGGCCCTTGAAGGGGGCTCGCGTAATGCATTGGCGCACACGTCGCGCGCACAGCGAGGCCCAGATCTCGAACGATGGAAGACACGTGCACGCACCGGGAATGTGACGTCAGCATTGGCGACAGGGACAGGACTTACAACGCACACGTACGCACCAATTGGCGTGCATTCTTATGATATGCTCTTGATGGTGACGAAGGCGAGCAGGGTCGAAGGTCGAGGGGCGGCGACTCCTGCGCTGGGACCGTATGGTCGAGTCCGCGGACAGCCGAGCAACAGAGACAACAGGAGTTCTGTCCCTTACATCCGTTCCGTTCATCAAATGTTCTTTATGCAATTCCTAATGCCTCATTACTTCTTTGCGCATCCAGCTCTTAATAATGCTCTATCAGGTCAAGTTACAACAACGGCACTCTTACGCTTCCCCATGCTCTGCAGCGCAACACAGGTGTGCATGGCCTTTGCCGTCGCTGCAATCACCTGGTCGTTGTGGGTGTGCTAGCTTAGACAGGCAGCTGCGGGTTGAGCAGACATGACTCGGCTCGAGCAGACGGGGAAACACCAAAATATACTGGAGGCGGACATCGCTCTTGCTGGAAGCACAAGATCGAGAGCATAACGCTAACAACATTGTGGAGTTCAAAAGTCATTTGTGACTTTGAGACTCATTTAGTCAAATGCTTGATTTACCAGTACTGCATGCACAACACTGTGTGGTGCGCACCACGAAGTTGGTTCAGTCAGCCACTGATGGTATCTTATGCGGAAAAGCCAAAATAGCACTTGTGGTGTTGTTATGTCATCAAAAAGATTGAAATGGACAGAAGATTGGAGTTTGAAGAAAAAATGAAGCCAAAAATAAAGAATAATTGAGTCCCTTTTCACCTATTTTCAAGCCGCAAGATGTTTTGCCCATCTGACCCTTTCTTTGGGCTTCCGAGTCACCGTGTTTCCTTGCAACGTCGCATCAGCCGACTCAAGGGCTGATGGTACTTTCCTTAGAATGTGGGACCAGAAACTTGAGACCTGAATGTGATGATAGAATCCCGGATTAGCACATTTCAATTCTGACTGCGATCTCAACATTCTTGCTGAAAATTGTTTCTCGTGGGTATGTTTCACTCTCTGGGCAGCTGGATTTGGTGATCGAATTGGTTGGAGATTGCCGCGACAAATTCAGTGCTGTAGTTCTTTGGCCACTGATGATTTCTTGGTCATTGGTCACTGCTGTTCTTAAGCCATTGAATCAACGGAAAAATATTGGGTATCTTCATATTCAGCAGACTGACTGCAAACTATATCAGGGGAAAGGATTCGCAACAGAGTTCATTGGTGCGTTGGCTGATTTCCAGCGCTTTGAAAAGGCCTCCAGGAGCTGGTTGGAAGGCTGGAGGCTTTCACTTCTAGGCTGCAAGTAGATTGACCAATGTGTTACATGATTGCCAGCCAGTATATGGTGCCTGGGCATTATCAACCACATTGGGCATTGTACATCTTGTGAAGAAAATGTATGTCATGTGCAGGACAGCTGTTTTGTGATTTGGCTCTCGTGGGATTGCATACCTGTGTTCATGTGAGGATGGCTTGACTGGCGGCAATCAATCGACCGAGGAAAGAGCGAGGGGCAAATTTTGTGGCGGATCCCGCTCGGTGGAAACCGGCTGTAATAGCGGTAAAATGTGGGCACTTAAATTGAGATCGAATTCGCTTGGGGCTCTATTGGTGTGCCATACAAATGAGACCCGTTGAGTTCTAGCTCTTTTTTGCTCCAATCACGTCGAGGCAATGTAGTTGCCGCATGTGCCAAAGCTGCTGCCTCTTCCAAAAAGGCTCAAATTAGTCGAGCCACAAGAGGCGGTCTAAGCCTTGTTGCGTGCCCGTGAGCTGCAACTACAGCATATGTTTTGGCATGCCCGCTGCCAAGCCCTGAGACTTGGCTACAAGCTGAAAGTACAATAGGCATCCTGTCGGGTCCGCTTGATACATAACTGCGAATCTAACTTCCAATAGATCACGCTCCCCACCTGCCTCTTCTGGACCTGGAGATCCTCTGCAATTCTGACCAATCAACTCCCATTTGTGCTCCCTAAAATATTCTGGATACGTTGAAAGCGACCGATGCATTCCTTAGAACTACCATGCCGAATTCTGTAATTTTGCTCTGGAATTGCAGCCATATGGTTTCTCATCGTGCATACAGTGCTGCGTGCGCTCCAGGATCTGGCGTGACCTAAGACCAGGAATTGCGAGTGGGCTGCGCTGACACATAAGCTTGGAAAAAAGCTGATCATCTTTTTAGTATGATGTTTGAGCGCACAGTCGCGGAGCATATGACACCACGTGTGCATGAATTTGGAAATTGCATGCGCTTAGCGGGGCGGTCACCCCGCAGGATTCGTCCCTTCAGCACTCGGTGCCTTGCCGCGCCGATCGGTGGCGTTTAGTGTGAGTTCTGGCGCTCTTCGCCCTAAGAGCGATGTTTCTGCTTCCAACTGAGCGGTAAAATTACCACCTCCACATGTCTAAACTTGGCCAAAATGCACGGCTTTATAATCGCGTACCGTAAAGTCATGTAAACTGCCGAGAAATCGTGTAGAAATCATTTTACATCGTGTATATATTGTGTAAAAATGGAGACCAACCGTGTAGTAGAGTGTACTTGGCTTTGCAAGGTTTGGCACGGTTCACGTGATTTTCTGACCGTTCGAAACCTGTGTTTTGGTCGATTTTTTGCCTGCGCTCATGGGACGGATCTCTGGAAGACTGTCGACACTGGGTTACAGCAAACGGATCGTTGTGTCCCGACACACTGCGGTGGAGCCATGAATGTTTGACCAAATATCCTGGAAAAGGGCGGTTTTGAAGCAGCGTTGATGTCCATTGCTGCAACAATAGCGCGGATGCATTGCAACACAATTAACAATGCCTACGTGCCCAAACTGATGAGCAACAATAGAATTGGATTTGATGATACTGACGACAGTGGAATGTGGGAACCCACAACCCGCTTGGCTCAACCGCATCAGCAACATTGCTGCTCACGGGGTACTGGTGCGCAATACTTAATGTAACATTGACTGAAATGCATCGACAAACACGTTGAGCTAATGGGCACCAATGCTGCAGGAATGATATCAGTCTTTCCTGAGCATACGCCAACGTCCCCAAGTATCCATGTCAGTTCCCACTGTCCCGTGGTGAAAAATCTGGCTCAGCACTTCCAAAGTACATATTGGCGCCACAAAATAGTCACAACGTGGCAAACCCTCATATCATTCTGTTACTGTATTTTCCCAGTTTGCATCTCATGCATTGAGCGGCGAAACAATTCAAGTGAGCTGTGACACAATGGAAAATAGATGTTGAGTGCACCGTGGGTAATACATGGTCCCCGCGACACTGCATTGCAATATTGTTTTTCGCATTTGTCTAGTTGCATTTTTTGTGACAAACGACGTTTGTCACATAAAAAATGGAGCCGTCCCCGTGGAGTTCTCGTCGAGTACGCAGAGGATACGGTAGCGCCAACACGGACACGAAGTCACACGTGTGAATTCACACGTGCACCTGCTTCTGCGCGCTCTGTCAAACGACCATGAATGCGCGGGTAAGCGCGAATAACCATATTGGATCAACTCATCAAAAATTGTCAGTATTGCCAATTTGTTAGCTCGCCACTGCCGAACATCCCAAACAGCGCGTCAAATTCATTCTCACAAAGAGCGACGGCGTCATTGTGCCAAGGATGGCCCTACGGCCACCCTAGCCTGTCTGGATACCGCCAGCCAGTCTCCCCGGCGAGTCTGATTATAGGGATCCGCAAGTCACCAGCATAAACACGCACAATCACACAGAACCAAGCGCAGTCATGACTGCGCGATCACGCATGTTTATCAAAACCCATGATTGTGCGTGGTTCTGAATGTTTCGAAACATGATCACAGGACTTTTTCCAAGCCTATGTGGAACTCGGTTCCACGTTGCTTGTGGATTGTTCCTGTGATTCCACAATAGAATCGGGCTGTGAGAGTTTGTTTCCAGTAAGCTCTTCCTGCGAGCTTAAGACGAAGCTGCACTTGTGCGTGGGTCTCCAGCAAAAGTTCAAGAACAATATGCATGCAATTATTTTGATTTTCGTTCTGTGCGAGCGCTGCTTAAAGTGCCGCAGCCTTCTCATTTACGCACAAATGTGAAGAATCTGAAATTTCCTGGGCATTCGGGAAACATGGCCGTGGGTTTGCTGACAAATATGTGGTGCTTCGCACCTTAAATGTGCGCACCTGTGAGGCTTCAAGCGCTCTCCTCCTAGCAATGTTTATCCAGATTCCGCGATTGCTACTTCGGCTTGTTCGGCCCCATTCTGCTCAAACATAATATGAACACTTGCCAAGCGGCTCCATCGTTGTCAGGACCTCCTTTTAACCACAGGAAAAGGGCTCGGGCTTTTTCCCGAACGCAGAATGCAAGCCCGCCCAACCCGTCCATATATTTGGCAGATTTGGTACACCACGCCACGCCAGACTTCCGCTTAGTGGCCTGTCTAATTTAAGGTCAGTCGCTGCGCCTAGAAGTTGAATGAATATTGTGCAATCCACGTGTCACATTCTGCGAGCTGCTGTTGAACAGAATTCCCAGGAGCTTTGATCCACTCTACAAGTACAATCAAAGAAGAGGTATTCAATCAGATCGTGGAGGTGCACTGCTGACGGCAGGAGGCTAGGGACCTTGTGAAGTTAAGTTCGCGTCGACCAAATCTACGGTTTTTGCCGTCTCAAATTTGAGACGACAAAAGCCTTAGATTTGGAGCGATGCGTTCTTGACTTGCCTAAAGACAGCCACGGCAAAGGCGCCTCGATTCCGATCCGTGGATAAAATTTTGCGTCAGTTCTCCTTCGAAATAACACTAGCTCTTCCGCGTCAATACGAGTTGGAATACAAATGTTCCATTGCGAGTTGCCGCATCGTGGTGGCTGATTGAGCGAATCACTGAATACCGAGACGAACAAGATGACAACTTTCCATGGGAGAAGAAGACCATCTCTGAGCTGATTTGACGTTCTTTGAAACCCACAAGATTACCCTGGCTTGCTTTGACAAGAAGACATCACACTGCCCTGTCTTGCAGTGAACACATTACCGAGGTGATGCCGTCGCTACTGTGATTGGCAGAGGTCCATGCACATGCAGGGTCTCGCAACGCAAATAAGGAAGTGCCACTTGCGGTTGACTTTCCCTTGGACAAGAAACAACAATCAGAAGGGCTGGAAAACAGAATGGAAACAAGTCCCTGGGAAGGCCGCAGCAAGCACTCCATCCCGTTGAAGCTTCCATTGCCACGTCGTCGGACACTGCAACAGAGCGATACGGCACGATTTGATGCGATGCCAGTGCGACATGCAATACTACTATGCCGCTCTTGAGGCATCCGTTACGGGGGGGCATGCATCCTCCGGGAACAGCGCACTTGTGAAGACCAGTGAGAGAACGCGATATTGCAGCAGGTGTCATTGCCCTTTCATCCCTCAGTGAGTGAATGAACGTAATGTCCATGCACCGCTCTTCTTCAAGCTCACAGTCCGCAGCGGCATGAAATTAGTTGCTCTGTCCTTTCCTTGAAGTTCCCTTCTTGTTGCGGACACCCTAAACCCTAAACCGTTGAGCCAGCGACCGGCGTTGGCCTTGTCAGCGGAGGAAGAAGGGATCCTCACGGAAAGACAGAGGGGCTGACACGTTCCCGTGATGACAAGCCCCCTTTTGTCCTGGACGTCAAACCTGACCAAAAAGTGCGTCACGCCCCGCAAAAGCGGCCCCCACTCCTCGCAGCTTGCGTCCCCGCCTGGTGACTAACCTGCGCCGGCCCCGTGGCCTTCACACCCCCCACCCCTGCCGGCCGCGCGCGCTGCCTGATTGTGGTGGGTGGGATGGCGTCCTGGGCCTGCCCCAGGCCCCTCACAGCCTCGGTCACGCGCGGCGCGTTCCAGTGCGCCGGGCTGCCGCTGCCGCCCTCCTTCCGCGTGTCCTGGTCGTCCGGCAGGCGCCTGAGGCGCGGCGGGCGGTCCAGGCGCCGCGATCGCGAGCATCGGCGCGCATGCGCCAGGATGGCCGCCGACGGGGTGCCAGGTGAGGGGAGAGGGGTTGAAGGATTTGGGACGTGGAGGGTGGAGGGCCTGGAACGGGGGGGAGGGAGCGCCGGGGAGTTTTGAGCGGGAGGTGGTTGTTGGAGAATTGGCGCTTTGGGATGGTTGAGATCGGGCGGGGGGGACAATTTTGCCCTGGTTGTTTGATCAGTGTGGGTTAGTTTGGCTGCATCGCGGATTGGGGTGCGCTTGTTGCGGAGATTGGGTTCCCAGTCGCAGTTTGGCGCGGCGCCGAGTCGCTCTGCCTGGGTCACTGGAAGCCTAATGAATGCCAGGCAGCAAAATGGCGGATGAAAACAGAAGGCACGAGGCCACTGGAGGTGGCGCGCTGGACAAGTCTGCGTCAATCTTGGACAATCTGCGTGGAATACGGGTTTTTCTCTTCACAATCGGCTTTGCCCATTGGGTGGATTGGGCCACCCGTGACCAGGCGCGCATTTGGTATGGGTTCGCAGGGTCTGACCCGTACCTCTGTTGCTTGGCACTCGCAGAGCCTCTTCTGGTGCGCGCAGCGCGCGGGGAACCCGTTGAACGACCACCCTGCTGGTAAGCCACCGCCCATGCCAAGAGGGGCAATGCCCCACTGCCTTGCCTTTTCTCAAAGCACCACCCCGCTGGACTCACCTGCATTCAGTGCTGCCCGCCAGGATGATGAGGCAAGCAGGAAGATACCAAAAGGCGAGTTGCCATGGCGATTGGCCAACACCCCGCTCGTATGTCAAGGGGCAAGGTGCCCGTCGGTGTTTGTATGGGGAATCTACCAGCACCTGAAATCCCGTGTAGTTGGCGATCCGGGCTATGTCTGTTGACTGCAATCGATTGAGACAAATTTCAACAGTACGGAAATGGCTAATCCCAATGTACAGAGCATGATTGACAGTTCGCACGTGCAGGCCCTTGATTCAGCACGTGTTGGGCACGCTACTGCATGCCGTGCTCTGTTTCTGGTGATCTAGAGGTTGCTTGGACTACCTTGGGAGAACGAAAGCGAATTGCAGCATGCACGCTTATTGATGCACTGCAGTGCTGTTTTGGGACCATCTTTGTGTGCTGTGCAGGCCTTTCGCGATCTTGCAAAACAATATCCATCATTCCGGCAAAGGTGCGGTTACCATTCCCAGGGTTTCCGCTACTATCAGTGACAGAATCATTACCACCAGGTCATCAGCTGGGCGTTTCTGCTGCTATTCGATGGGCGCTGCCACCTATGTGTGAATTTGTAGCACTGTGGATGGTAGAGAAGATGTGTGCACCAGGCTCAGTCCGGGTACCTCCAGCAGAATGCCCCACCAACCTACCAAACCACCTGGCCAGGGGCTTGGCGTTGGGCACTCCAGTCCCTTGAGCTACTCCAGTCCCTCCCCTCACCCAACAGAATTGGTGGATGCCCTGTTGCAGTTTCCCATTGACATAGATTAATTGTTGCCCCACCCCCAAGTTCAGAGAAACAATGGGCGTTCAAGTGAGGCTCACCGTTGCCATGCCTGTGTGAAACTACCTTGCTGAGGCTGTGCCGGTGTGTGTGATGTTGCCAGCCTCAGTGATGTGATGTTCAATGGTGTGCAGATCGGAGACTACAGACTTGATAGTCGAGATAACACTACAGCCATTTGAAGCTTACAAACCTGACGGGGTCATCCTTTTCAGGTGTGCATTTTCCACAGCTTGTGACCCTGTGCTCTTCGACTTTCGCATTGATTCATTCAACACGCTGAATGTTGGGTCGGGCAAAGGTATCACTTGCTCTCATTTTGTGCAGCTGATTTGTGCAGTGAGATTTTGTGTCATGACCTGGCATCAGCAGTCATTTAGCAATGTCTGACCACATGGGTGGCAAGCAGATAAAGTGAGCAGATGTAGAACATGTAAAATGAACAAGGGCAATGCTTTAACTTCTTAAAGGAAAATTTACAGGATTACAGCAGAGCCTGGCGTCAGCAACTGGTGGAAAGCATAACAAGCCTCCACATTTTCCAGCATGAGACTTTGGACTCGCTCGTACAGGGTGCACAGTTGGCATGAGACAGAGTTGGCTACATATGCCAGGATAGGACAAATCGTTGCACTTTCAGGTGTCGGTGGGTGCTGTTCACAATCGCAAGTACCAGTTCACAATGCACTTCTGTTGTCATTGCCAAAGAGGCTGAAAAGAAATAGTGTTCTGTGGACACTTGGCTTGCAGCTGATTTCTTCATTGCTGCCACTTCAGTGACATTCTCACACCCCTGCCAGCGATGGGCATCCCATTCGAGATCGACGACAAGAAGGGGCCCATCATCAGCGATCCAATTACCTCCAAGGACCAGCTGTCCAAAATGTATCCCCTCAGGCTCGACGAGCTGCAGTTTGTTGGGGACAGTCTAAGGCAACTACGGCAGCGAGTGGGCGATCAGGCAGCGATCTTGGGGTTTGTTGGCTCGCCATGGACATTGTCCACATATGTCGTTGAGGGTGGGACCTCAGCTGTGTATAGCGTTATCAAATCCATGATGCACAATGCACCGGATGTGCTGGAGGCTCTGTTGTCCTTTCTGACGGACCAAATTGCAGAGTACATTGTTTACCAGGTAACTGCAGAACATGTTTGCTGTGGTGTTGTCTGCGATTGTTGCATGGTTCCTTGTTGATTGCGTTTTTGGGGAGGCACAGCATTGCCATTTTGCATGTGAGGAATGTTAGGTGGCAGTGGTCTGTGCTTGGGATTGCTGCCTGAACTGGGCTTGCCAAGTTTTGGCCGCGAGACATGCACCCGTTCTACCAGACATATGATGTTTGTTGCTTCAGATTTCTGGCATAGAACCTCTTCAGCAGGTTTCACATTGCCTATGGATGTCCTGTATTACATCGAGCTGGCTGTGGACGTGTGGCTGGATTTCGTTCAGATGCACTTCTACAAGAATGTGCCTGAATGCAAATGAGTGCATGCAAATCAGCCAGTCTCCAGCTGCACAGCTCACCATCTGCTGAAAATCAACAGATTATTTCCTTCATAAGAAGGACATATGGCCCTGCTCTTTTGCACCTACATAAAATGGCATTGAGCAATTCTTTGCAAAGTGAAAGTGCTTTGTATGCCATGCCCATTTGCTGGTACTGATCTGCCAGTTCTCATCTCACATGTGTGCGCGTGTGTGTGCCTATGTCTGTGGTGGGCAAGCAATGACGAACTTCTTTGTCTATATGCAGATTGAGAATGGCGCCCATGTTGTTCAAATATTTGACTCGTGGGGTGGACAACTCACACCCAAGGATTGGGATAGGTGGTCACGGCCATATATCGAACGCATGATTGAGGTTGCAAAGTCGAGACACCCCACAGTTCCTTTGGCCCTGTATGCAAATGGTAAGTACACTGCCTGTCTTCTTGTGTCACCCAAATCCCACCACACGCTTGGTTGACACTGTTGCAGCCACCACGTTTGTGATGTCTGTGTGACAGCCCAAAGGAAATGCCAGCCCAGTGACAGTCTGTTGTGCATGCCAACATTATAATACAAGTGCAATCATGAGTTGTTTCCATTGATATCGTGTTGATGTTGCCTCTTGATGTGACAGCCATCACACTGCTGTTTGCTGTTTGACCAGGAGTTTTAGCTCATAGCTGTGTTTTGATCGAATGGGAAATCAGCAATCTGGGGACTTCCTCCGTTGTTTCCCAGCAGAGGGATGCACAGACAGGTGTACATCAATTGCATAAGATGCAACTTTCCTTTGGTAGCATGTCCCTATTGAGGGTGAATACTGCATTCTTGTACACTGGTCCATACTATACAAGATGGGTTGCATTTGTGTGTCCATACTGCATTGGTTTTGCCTAATTTGTGGTGGTGCATTCGGCATCGCTTCTGTAATTCAACAGGGAGTGGGGGTCTCCTTGAGCGGATGAAGTCAACTGGAGCTGATGTCATCGGCTTGGACTGGACAGTGGACATGGCAGATGCACGGCAAAGATTGGGCCCCGATGTCCCTGTTCAGGTATTAGTTGTGTGCCAGAGTACTGACAAAACCTCTTGCCCTGCACACCACACTCATGATGGGGACACCAATCGACCAATCAAGATCATGGGTGCTGACGATTGAAGGCACTGAGAAGGTTGTAGTCCATGTACTTATGCGAACGCAACAGACCTCCTCCAAAGAGCATTGCTTTGATCAGAAGAAGCTGAATTCCGTGCATTTCATGTGCTACATACACAGGGGAATGTTGACCCTGCGCTGCTGTTTGCTGGAGAGGAGGCCATCGAAGAAGGCGTGAGGGACTGTGTGGCCAAAGCAGGCCCAACGGTGTGCTACTGTCAGGAGCCAATCCTGCTGGGAGCATTGCTCCGTGCTTGTGTTTCATGAACACATCCTCCTAAATATCACACTGTCAAAATGCTGTCAGTCTCGTTAGTTTTGCTCTTTGGAACGTCTTTCATCCTCCACAAACTCAGAATCTTTGTTCCTGGGTTCTCCTAGAGTTGTGGGAAATGTGCAATGTTTGGATTATTCAACTGTGGTCGATGCATATAGAGTTTGCGACCTCAACCAAGAGAAGCTGCCCCCTTAAACCTGATTTTGCATTTAAATATACCTGTCAGAGCACTTTGGTGCCTGATATAGTAGAGGACTGCAGATGTGCTGAAGCAAGCACAGGCGAAAGGCCATGCAAGGCCATGTCCTGATTTCAATTGCACTGAGCAAAGCTCTCTATGTGAGACCTAACTTGCGCGTTCCTCTCATTTGCAGGGCCACATCCTCAACTTGGGCCATGGTGTGCTGGTTGGAACCCCTGAGGATAATGTTGGCCATTTCTTCAAGGTGGCCAGACAAATACGCTACAATGCGCCTGTCTCTGTGTGACATCGCCGGCATGCCCTGTCCTGTGCAAAGACATACATGTCTACCTTTCTGTGTGATGTGGCAACATAAGCGTGCCCTCGAGTCCAACATCCGCACGCTGTTGCCCATGTCTGCGGCTTGGTGGCTGCTGCACAGCAGCGTTGCAATGGATGCTGAGCGGTGCAAAGCAGCGAAGCTGCAGGAATGGCGTGGGGTTGCAGAGTGCCTGAGGGTGTGGCCCCACCAATGTCCCATCGCTCGTCGCCATTTTGAGAAGACAACCCAAAGCGACAACCGAAGCAGGCTTTACTGAGGCTGCCGCTTATTTTCTGTTTCTTATTGGTAGGCTAAGGGTCATGCCTGAAGGCGACAGGGTGGCGATGGATGTGTAAATTAGTTTAGGGCACAACAGAGAGCGGGGGAGTGGGGGCATAGACTGGGAGTCTGGGATTGCTGCATTCTGGTTGGTTGGCTCAGTATTCGCTGCTGAACAAGGATGCAGTGTCTGAGAGCAGAGTTGTAGCCTGGCAGCCATACTCCAGTGAGGTACTTGTGCTGGCAGTTTGTTAAGAGAGTTGGCCACAGCAGGCAAAGGCACTGGAGCACACAGCCCTCTTTCAGGCAGGCTGCCACCAGCAGTGCCACTTCACAAACTGGGTATGCCTCAGGACAAGCACTTCGTTCCCTGCTTGTTGGCTGCAGAACACACAAGCACTCGTCATGCTGACATCACTGCATTGCGAACCGCCACCATCAACGCATAAAATGGACACACGCCACCTGCTTCGTGAATGGACAGTCATTTGCCCTGCCTTCAAGTGTAGTCAACGAGGCATTTGGCGTTCTCGGGTTTCTTCTGCAGTTTTTTTTCCTTTTTGACTGCGAGTCGCACTCTGAACCTGCACACAAACTTCTGAAAGGCTTGTGTTTTTGTCATGGAGCCCGCGGCGCTCGCATCAAGTTGACAGCTCGTCGCATGAAATGAAATTAAACTCCCCCGGCTACCTGTCACAGCCCCTCGGGCAAGTCGTCGTCGCTCCCTTCGCGGCGGCCCCTCCCCAACCCTCCCCCACTCCTCCCTTTTCCCCCTCCCCCCCTCTTCTCCTTTCCCCCCGCTGCGCGCCCCCTCCTCCGCCCCCCGATCCCCCGGCCGCCCGCACCGCCAATTGACGCGTCGATCCTCGCGTTCAAGTCCTCCAGCAGCTTCGCGCCCACCCCGTCGCCGTCGCCGACCTCCTGCCCACCCTCCTCCACCAGATCGGTGCCTTGGGGCCCCTGATCCGCCACCGCGAGAGGCCCCAGCCTCAGGGCGTCCCGCGCCGATAGCGCGGCCGCGACGCCCTCTTCCCTGTGATCGAACCCCATCGCCTGGAGCGCCCTGCCCAGCCGGCACCGATCCCCCTTAGTCATTTCGGTCGCGCCCTCGGGGCACCTTCCCAGCTCCGCCAAGAAGGGCTGCGCCAGCTCGCGGTCCCGCAGGCCCAGCGCCGGCATGGCGCACAGGATGCCCACCAGCCACCGCGTCATGGGGCCCATCTCGACCAGGCGCCCAGCCCCGACGGCCTCCGCCACCAGCGCGCGGGCCGCCACAGGATGATCAAACCCCATCGCCCCCAGGCACCGCGCCGCCACGACCAGCGAGCACGGCGACGCCGCCCGCCACACCTCGGCTCGGCCCACCCTGGGCGCCAGAGCCGCCATGAGCGCCACATCGCGGCACCCCAGCCTCTGGCAGCTCTGGAGGAGGTACGCCAGCTGGTCCCCGGTCATGCCGTCCAGCACGCCGGGCGCGGCCAATGCGCCGGCGAGCGGCCCTATCACATCGCTTCCCGCGTGGCGCAACGCCGCCAGGCCGCTCATCAAGTGGCCGATCGCCCTTCCGTCCAGCCTGGCCAGCACGTCCGGCCTCGTGGCGTGCTTGGCGAGGCGCCGCGCTACAGACTCCTCCCTGCACTCCAGCCTGGCCATGCTCTTCGCCAGGGACACGAGTTCCTCGGGCGCCGCCGTGGCCAGCGCCTCCTCCCCCGTGACCTTAAGGAACAGGTGCCTGACGCGGCGTTGGTCCCTGTAGCCCATCTGGGTCAGCATGTGCAGCGCCCAGCTGCCCATGTGGGCGTCCAGTTCCCGCCGGCGCAGCAGCTCGCCGACCACGCGCTCCGTCAGCCTCCTGGTCAAAAAAATGTCCGCGCCGGAGAGACACCAGCTTGCAAACAGACACGCCAGCAGTTCCCGCACGTGAAAAGTGCGCAGGAAGCCCGGTTTGATGATGTCGCGCACCAGGGAGGTCACCAGGTCCGGGTCGCGCACGCCCAGCTTGCTGATCGCCAGGTAGGCACTCGCCGCGCCTTGAGGGGTGCGATCCGCCGATCGCTCCCGGCGGGTGGCCTCGCGCGCCAGCGGCAGGACGACTTTCTCGTCCGTGACCTGGGCCAGCATCAGGCCGTGGAGCGCGTTGCACAGCTGCTGCTCGTTGAGGGCGGCCAGCACGGAGGGCTTGGTCAGCGCGGGCCCCAAGGAACGCCAGAGCTCGGGGTCGTGGGCGGAGATGCGGCCCAGGCTGTAGGCCACGTTGGACAGCATGGCGACGTCGTAGGAGGAGAGGACGGCGGGGCTGACGGCGTGGCGGCAGATGGGCCCCAGGTCGTCCCAGTAGGCGCACTGCAGGCGGCGTAGGGAGTAGAAGAGGGAAGAGAGCGAGACGGCGTCCACGGCGGCCAGGCGGTCGTGCTCAGAGAGCTTGCCGACGATCTTGCGCACTGCGTCGTCGCCCTTGAACCCCACCTGCTTTCAAGAGCGCAGAGGCATCCATTGTTGAGTAGATGTGACCTTCGAGCTTGAATTGACAATGAGCAATGCATTCATGTAGCTTGCGTTGACCCTTTTGCAGGGACAAGCATTGGCGTTTTCACGCGTTTTGAGGAGCTACGATGCATGGTCAAGCCTGGCCAAACGACTGGGATCAGCAGCATCCACACCTCAACGACCGAAACTGACTGAAACTCTGGCAATGCTGTCGTGATAGTTCATCCGGACTCACAATGCTGCTACATGTTCCATGCCAGGCTTCCAATTCCGTATCTCTGTCGTTGGGCAGGCGGACAGGAGTTCCATTGGAGCTCTGTGAACTAACAGTCCACTTCTCGTCATTCAATCCCAAAACAATCCCAGAACAATGATCCACATGGCAAGAACAAGGTTCTTGCCAAGACTGGCAGGCAAAAAGTCACAATGCTAAAGGCACAGCGGAACTGGAACTCACCCGGGCCAGCGACTGCAGAACGTTGCACAGATCAAAACTGCTAAGTGTGCCAAGTCGGGAGTCCTCAGTGATCTCCTTTGCAACGGCAGCCCATAAGTCGGTCCCATTGATGTCCAGATTTGACAATCCAAAGGCAACTTGGCTCAGTTGCACCGCAGAGAAGAACCTGAGACAGTGGGATGACGTTGCCATGGCTGCCAGTGCTTTGTTTACTGCCCTATGGGAAGGATACCACTCCCTTGGCGAACTGCTGTCTCTGCACCACAAGAAGGCAGATGGTGAAGCCACATGGCCAGCACCAGGGAACAATGTTTATGCCTCAACAACAAGAGACAGACTCCAAGAGGCAAGAAAACACTGACGTACCATTCTGGTTGTTGCTACCTAACTGAATACATGCAATGCTTGGTCATGAATGGCCGATTCTTGTGCTATGAACTTCAGCAAACTCCCAATGCGACTGCACTATGGCACAAATGGTGCAAGAGGCCCCAGTGACACAAAGCGCACCTTCGTCTGTGCCAGCGCTGCAGAAGTCCCTGTGAGTACACTATGTTGCTCAAATTGAAGGTCGTGAGTGTCTCGACTCGCAATACCAGCAGCGCCCTCCCCATCGCTTCCATCAGCTCTGGGTTCAGGTATCTCAACTTTGCGACCGAAAAGAACACAATTGCAAGGTCCTTTTGCTTCACGGCTGGCATGTGCTTCATGGCCATGTCTGACAACCAGATCAAGAGTTCCTGAGATGGTGACGTCTTCAGGCGCTGTGCGGCATGGAACCCCAAGGCCACATGTTGTATTCGGACAAGACCCCCCAACCCCATCAGCTCTTGCCTAATGCTCTCTTCTGTGTCAAGCTTCGACTTGTCCACAAAGGCAAAGTGCTGCCGACGAATGCTTGGCCGGTGTGCCCTCATGCCCCGGACCAAAAGCTGTCCCCTCTTCTTCAAGGTTGAAGAGGACACAAAGTTGGAAGGGGCACTGTTGACAGGGCCACCACATTGTTCTGGACTTTCCTCCACGCCAACGGCATTTTCCATGCCAAACCCCTTTTGGACTGTAGCACTGAACGATTCAAGAGATTGGAGGATTTCCTGCGCTGGTGTCAGAGCAGGGCTTCCAAATACATCACAAGCGGGAGACACCATCCCTGCCATCCCTGGGGAGGAACCCATGGATGCACACGCCTGTGACTGTGGCTGGCTGCAATCCTGCGCTCCAGTGCCATGCAGCATGTGAGATGCGTGTGCACAATCCTGATCCTGCATGCTGGCAGGCTGCCCATCCCTGCTCTCAAGCACCTTGTCCAGCAGTTCTGCTGACGTTGACATGCAAAACATGGCTTCTCTGTTTGTGGCAGCCTGCAAACAGCCAAATGTCACACTGATGTGCTCACTGGAATGGGTGTTTAGGAGGAGCTCGATCTCGAATTTCCTTCTGAAGATGCTTACAAACTATGCTATATGTTCCCAGTATTAGCACCCACCCCCAGTAATATCCAAAGCCCTCTCAGAGGATCCAATCCATGTTGGTATCCACATCAAGCACTGGCCCTGTAGCACTGCCATGGTGGCTGCTTGATGACACAACTCTCAGCTTTTTGCCAGCATTGATCGGTGGAGAAATAGGCCGTTCACTCGTTCAGAGGACTCAAAGCCCGGCAGAGGTGCTTGAGAGGTTGGTAGGAACAGTTTTGGCTTGCAGATCGAACATGAGGAGGGGAGGGGAAGTCTTTCATAGAGGGAGAGTGGGTGGATTGTGGGAGAAGCCACGAAGCCTCATTATATTTGGGCCAATGGGGGTAGGGATCGAGTGGTTGACATAACCATGACTGTGTTTCGGGAAGACTGTTTGTACCAGTCCTGGCATCTCCACTTCCCACTGTAGTGAAAACTGGCACTTGTGGAATTTGTTATGCATCTTTCGATGTTTCGAGTCTGTTTTGCCCTTATGTTGGGCCCAATTTTCAAAAAATTTTCCTATCCACTACTCGGATCAAGGTTCTCAATCATTTCGCATCATGATGCAGTGAAAAGAAGCAGCATTTGCTTGTGGTGTGCAACGTGTTTAGCAATTTTCAAGGGCGGCTCGTACATCAGGGTTCTGTCCCTGCATATGATATCCATTGGCTGCACGCACACTGCGCAGAGTGCAACACTTGAATAGCGGATGCCTTGTCTGCTTGGGGTTTATGTGCCTTGCAAACTGGGCAATCCAATTCGAAGCATGCAAACATGAAACCCTCTGGGATTTACTTCTGAGTTGGCGGTTAACTGTGCACACTAGGCGATGTCTGTCAGCCCTTGACTTCGATGCAAGCTGTCAGTGCCGGACTTTGCACCGCATTCTCACACGTTGTTGACCAATCCCAAATTCGATAGTGAAAATGCAAGGGTTCGTGGCACTGCACATGATCACAGAAGATCAAGCAAGATGCAGTGCAGGGCTTCTTTACCCTCGCTATCTACTATACCACTGACATTAGCATTGACATGGGTGCCAAGACGGATTTGTGCCAAATGTTATGGACAGATATTTTAATCCAGGCATCGTTGCAGCGATTGCCTGCGCTCTGTGCGCCTCTTCACGGTTCCGTTCGACTGAAAATTGTTTGTTCACACGCATAGCTGGCTCCCAACACGCTGGATATCTCAATGCATGCGGGCACTCGAAACCCATCATGCCATTGGCGCCTCCACCCACAAACCCACGGGGACACTTCGACTATTGAAAAGAGCTCGAAACATGCGTCCATCCTGGTTGGGTGGAAATGCGAACAAGTGCAGTGTCTTGCACTGGCATACGGAAACGTCAACAGGACCGATGCCCGCCCACAATGGCTGGCAGTTCTTTGCACCCAGGCGCACCTCTTTAACCCAAGACCAGCCTTCTGCCAGAAAGGAAGCTCGCCACACACTAAACATACACCCCTTAGCATGAACTCTGCCCTTAGGCGCACCTTTCCAACCCTGGGCTATCCTTCCGACAGAAAAGAAGGGCGCCACAGACTGAGCACACGTCCCTCAGCATGAGCCCTTGTGTGAGTCACCATTCCATGCTGCAGCAGATGATGCAGAAGGCTCGGATCGCAACAGGATGAGCGCGCGACACGGAAGACCACGCGCAGTGCGCTTCCCACCGTCAAATCGCCCCTCTCCAGGTACCGCCGTGTCATCGAGGCCGCCCTCCGCCAGCATCGCCACATCTGCGCTGATTGCGCCTCGGGGTGGCAGCCATTCGAGCCTCCGGGCGCGTTCACGGCAGGACAACGGACGTCATGGCGTTCACCCGAGGGAGGGCGAGAGCCGACGACAGCCGCCTGGACGGCTGGCTCCAACTCTGGTGGCCGTCGTCTGCTCTCCACATACGCCTGTCCCCTACCGTACTCAAGGAGAAGGGCACCGCAAAAAAAAATGCAGACAAAAAGCACCGTGCGGAACCGTTGTCAGTATCGTCCAGCTACGGCTGCAAGGTGTGTTTGCAGGGAATAATGTACTACCTTAGGAATGACAACAGCACAGTTTTCTCTTCGCAGAGCCTGCACCCTTCTCCCTGAAAAAGACTTGTTTTGCAGTTGAGGGCTCACTAACTACGGCAATCATCGGATGCGAGTTGGGCATGGATTGCTCGGCCATCCGTCCAGATCTGGTCTTGCCCACCCATCCATCCCCCGGGGATCTCTTTCGCCTTTTGGCTTCCCGCTTTGAGACGGCCACCCAACCGCCAGGCCGCCCCCCCGCGCACCCCGTAACCCGCCCCCTTCCCCGAGACCCCGCATCGCCGCCTGCTTACAACAATGGCCATGGCGATGAAGTCCGTCGTGGGTCTGTCCTCCCTGCAGACCGGCCGTGCCGGCTGGGCGAAGACCGGTGGGGATCAGGGCGGACGCACCCAGCTTGTCGCCCGTCCTGGGCGTTTGAGGCGCGCCGGGAAAGGGCGCATAATTCCCCGATTCTGGCCCGACCACCACCCTTTTTTGTGTCGAATGATTGGCTGCTGCATTAGGAAGCTTGAGCGAATCGCGCGGTCACCTGGCGTGCTTCGTTGGACGGCGCTTTGGGGCTGTCCGGCTGCTTCCTGTGCAAAAGCCGTGGTTCCGGATTGTCGCGGATTGTTTCTCGGGGCTTGGTGGCGCCTCGGGCTGGTGTTAGCATTGCCCGAACTTGATGCTGCGGGCGAGGTCAGTCGTCAGCAAATTGCCGCACGAAAGCAGCAGTCCGGGCGAAGGTGTGATCGAGGAATCGGGTCCCTTCGAGCTGGCCTGTTGGTGTGCCTCTTTGACAAAACTCTCCAATCCGCTGCAGAAATGGGTCTCGAAAGGTCAAAGCCTCTGGCCTAGGAACTGTCCTATGGTACCCGGTGATCGGCTATTCGAGCCGTAATGTCCGCAGCAGCATGGCAGGATGACGCTGTGGATAACGGCGGTTGGTCCCAAACGCAGAGTCGCGAACTCAGTCAACGCTGTTTCAATTGTTCTTTTGCTGGATTCCACTCGCATCTGTGGTGACGTCCTTCCCGGCGCAACGAGGGCTGGGCCTCTTGTGCAAGTACACCGTTTGATGTTGGTGTGCTGGGGACAGGGCTCTCGGGCCAGCGCCTGGCTATGCGGCATGTCAGTGTTGGGGCGTCTCGCAAGGTGACGAGCATGAGGTAAGCGTGGATCGATTGGCATTGTTGAGCAAGTGTTTGGGAACAACTGTTGCAGTTGATGGGAATTTATTGACATGTCGTGGTGCTGAAGAGGAAAACGCTGACCCAGGGAGTGCACTTTTCTCCCTGTTTACCCCAAGACCGAAAGATCACAATGCAGATGGTGGCCACTAGCGAATGCCAATGACAAATGGACGTGTTGAGAATTATGGCGACTGCGGTTTTGTTGCAAGTGTTGATGGTAACGCACAGTAACTGCGAGGAGCTGACTATCGAGCTGATTGGAACGCTGCAGACATGCTGTGTTTGTGTTGCTGTCTGTTGCCCCCACCTCATTCTGTGCCGTTCTATTTGCAGTGGCAAGCCCTTTGACAGGGATTGGATATCCTCCAGCCCGTTCGCGTTCATGATGGGTTTCATTGGGTAGGTGATCGCCAGCCTCGCCACCCCATCTCACGTTCCTCTGTAGATCTGATGTCTTGCCGCTTTGGAATGTGTCTCCTTCAAATTAGCAAGTCCCATTCGCAGCAACTGTGTCTTTTCCTCTGAGATTCCATCGATTTTCTCGATGTTTCTCTATTGGTTGATAAATGCGGTCAGCAAATTCTCGAACCTTGAACCTTGTGTCTCCAAGACGTTTACTTTCTGTCGTCCAGGATTTTGATGTCCTCTTTGGTTGTGGTTTGTCGACAAAGTGGGTTGGGTCTGAGTTGTACACTTTGATCTGCAGCTGGACCGCGCCCTCTTCCATTGGCGTCCCTGCATACGATGGCAACAGTTTGTTTGGCTCGTTGCTTGGGCAAATAGTGAAGGAATGGCAGCACTTCCCCACAGGACCTGCCCTGGACTCTCCATTCTGGTGAGACTCCTAGGAAACTGAGATACTATTGAAGGCAACAATTCACGACCTGCTGCCCGTTGCCCTGCCACCTGCAGTCCAGCATATATCAGAAAATAGCAAACAATGCCCTTTGATGCAGTTTGGCAGTGCTGGGCACTGTTCACGTACGTTGGGGGTTTGTTTGATTCCGCTGCAATTGTGTTCTGTCCCTGAGTGTATGTTACAAGGGGCTTGCATCAGCCACTGCATGGTGACCTGCGACCATGGGCTGCATAGATTCGTTGGGTTGGATGTATTGTCACCAAATCGGCCTCGAGTGGCAAATAAAACGGCCTTTGTTCTCTTCATCTTGGCATGAAAAGGAATTGGCAACCAGATGCACGCAGTTGTTTGCAATCCAACCAATCCTGGCTGCGATAAAGTACCTCACACAAACATCCATCATCGGTGTGTGCTTCCATACTTCCATGATCAGATCATCCTGACACGTGGCCTGGACTTTGCCCTGCAGGCTGTACCTGATCACCTGGCACCTTGGCCTCTTTGTTACCCTCACTCTCGCTCAGATCGGCTTCAATGGCAACAAGCAGGGGTACTTTGATTAGGCCGCCGGGCAGTTTTGTGGGGTTGTACCTCGACGATGCTTCTTGTACTATAAGACCTTTGTTTGCAGCGAGGGTAAGAGAATTTGCACCAGGCACCTGTGTCCTTGCATCTTCGGTGGCTGTACCCAATCGCACCCTCGGAAGCTCCGCGGGGCGCCAAGGTCACTCCAACGTTAGAGGCCATGAACTGAGTACGTTGGGACCGAGGCAAGCATCGCCAATACGGGCAAAAGCTTCAGGGACCCGCAGCCACCTAAGTTAGGCATACAGGCACTCCAGCCGTCTCAGAACAAATTGGCGCCGCACAGGTTTGGTGCTTGCGCTGTCCGGTGCCCAGCTCAGGCCTTTGCCACCCGGCAAACTAGCTGGGGAACCCCTCCTGACGTTGACAAAGCCCGACGACCCTCGTCCTCTGACGGCTTAGCAGAGGGGGTTCCAATATTGCCGCTGGTATTTGCGCCAGTCGGCCACGGGCGGCCAGTGCGTTCCAGCATGGCCCACAGGCCACCAGCGCAGATCACGGCGCACGCTGCCGCTCCCTGCTGGTGCCCACCCTGCAGGTTCGCCGCTCGCCGAGACCCACAGTCAACCCGCTGCACACCTCAACACCCCGCCGTCCAACGCAACAACAAATCGCGCCACGCCGACGCGTACCCATGCAACACAGAACAACCGCACCTTCCACGACCACACCGTGCACCCATGAGCAGGCCACGTTGATCGCGGACGCGGGTGCATCGGCATGCCGCCGCGGAGTCAACAAACAAGCAAGTCGACCATACACACACGCACAACCACCGCGACACGCCACAGCGTCCCCGCCACTCTCATCAGCCTCCCTGCGCTCTGCCCGTGCCAAACCACCGCTCGTCCATCATGGTTTCCACCTTGCCTGGCGCCAGCACCACGTAACCCTCCTCCAGGGGCGGCACCTCCACGGCGTACGGCGCCGTGGCCCGGCCCTTGGCCCCCTCCTGCTCCACCCACAGCGTGAAGGCCAGCCCGCCGCCCAGGTGCGGGCTGGCCTGCGACACCTCGCACCAGTTCCTGCGCCCCATGACCTTGCCCCTCTTGGGGAAGATGCGCAGCAGCTCCTCGTGCGTGTGGCGGTTCGCGTCGCGCCGCGGGCAGTCGAAGAACTGCTGCGCGGCGAGGATGCCCGCCGGCGGCGGCTTGTTGATGATCGCGGACGTCACCACGGACGTCATGGACCGCGGATCGATCAGCGGGCTGGCAACCTTGGGGTGGGAGCAAAACTGGCCGACCGAGCAGGCGTGCACGTCGCCGGAAATAAACGTGATTCGAAGTTGTCGGTCGAATGCCAGGGACTGGAGGCGATTCACGAGGCGCCTGCGCTCATCCCTGTGGCCCGGGCACACCCACTGGTCCCACAGGTCGTCCAGCAGCTCCGGCTCGTTGAAGGCGATCAGGCCCTCCGCCCAGCCCGCCTTGCTGAGCATGCGGTTCACCGTCCGGATGCGGTTGAGCCCCGCCAGGCCGCGCAGCAGGCTGTAACTCATCGGCAGCCGGGGGTAGGTGATGGGCAGCGGCAGGGCGACCACGAGATGGCGCACGGAGGGCGGAAGGGTGGACAGCTGGTCGAAGACGGTGTCCCAGGACTTGGGGCTGAGCACCTGGGTCAGGGTGCGCTCGCTGCGCGTGTCCAGCCCCAGCAGCGCTACCGTGGGACCCATCAGCCTCAGGAAGTGGAGGCAGGCGCCCTGATTGGAGCAGAAGAGGTCGGTCCCGGGTGACTCCAACGCGCGCTCCGCGGTGGTGTGGTGCTGGAAGAGCAGGTAGTAGCGCCGCGCGGCGGCGAAGATGGACTGGAAGATGGGGCAGTCCTGCAGGCTGGCGGGGTAGGACCCCCAGCCGTCGAAGATATCTGGGCGCCCGCGGCAACAGAGCGGAGCGTCAGGGCGGGGCAGCCGGTGCAGGGCGCGCAACGGGATAGTTCGTCCGGACGGGAGACGCGTTCCTGCAAAAGAATTCAATGCGGACGAGAAAGCAAAAGGAAAACAACGCAAGGGCGTCCTGGGGCGTTCTGCCAGGAGGGACGTCCTCTCGCGCTCCCGTTGTTGCCAGCCAGCGAAGATGATTGGCCGTAACGATTCTCAGGACGGCGGGTCGATGGGCGCTTTCCTCTGAGGCAGGCGGCACGGCAGCGTCCGGTCCTCGAGGCCAGAAACGACTCGCGAGGTCGAAGCAGACAAACTGATACAGGGGCCCGTCGAAGACGCCGTTGAACAGCATCCAATCACCCACTGCATAGCATCAGCCGCTGGGCAGGCGCTCGGAGCACCGGCGCCGCTGTCAGGCACGCGCGCAGATCCGCGAACACAACTGCCCGAAGCTCTCGATTCAGAAACTGCAAATCTCGCAGTTTCACTCGGTCTCCGCGCCCTTCTGCGCACTCACCGTGGTCGTCCCAAATCATCATCTGCGGCACGCTGGCCATCGCGTCCGCCATGCCCGGGCTCGAGAAGTGCTCGCAGTAGTGCTGGAAGTAGTATGCCTCCACCTCGCCCGGCATCCCGTCCGTCACCTCCCCCTTACGGATCCCCTTACCGTTGCGCCGGCCTTCGAAGTATCCGGCCAGGCTCGGGGCACCCCGGAAAAGGCCGTCGGCATAGATCTGGTCCCCTAGGCCGATCGCCGCGTGCAGCGGCGCCGACAAGTGCCTGTCCACCAAGTCCGTCCACATCGTCGCCACGCCGCCCACGCTCTCCGCATCCGTCCCGTGACTCAATCCGTTGCAGGAGTACGCCGCCCAGTGCCAGGGCTCGCCGGCGGCGGGCGCATAAAAGGCGTGATTCTCGGCGATCGGTGCTCCCCTTGCAGTGCGAATCGAGTATTCCACGCGCTTCTCGCGCTCGCCCAGGCGGAACTCGATGGCGAAGCGCCACACGGCGCAGCCGTGCAGCAGCTCGATGACCGATCCGTCCGCCTCGAGGGCGAGTCCAGGGGCGCTGAGGCTGATCACCAGAGGGTCGCGCGGGGCCCGCACTACCAGCAGGGCGCTGCCGCGCCACAGGTGGCTGGCGGGGTCGTAGCCGCAGAAGCGCAGCAGCGGGCCGCAGGCCTTGACGTCCTGCGCCATGGGCGACGTCCAGCGGGGAGGGCGCCGGGGCGGGAAGGGCCGGTGCGCGGAGGACGAGTCAGCCCGGTGGAGGCATCAAGGCCGCCTGCGGATTGGAGAATGAGGAAGGGTCAGCATGCGCGGGCATCGGGGTCGCCAATTCGGAGGAATGGAAACATCGCAAGAGTGGCTATTGTGTCGTCCAGGCAAGACTGCGGTCAAGGTCGCCGTTGCGCACTGTGCCAGGGCCCAGAATCTGAGTGACTCGGTCCAGATCAGCACTTCGAAAGGCTTGCAGGTGCACGGTGCTACCAGCTCTCAATCTCCTTCTACTCCATCTATTCGGCCTTGACAGACTGTGCCATGTCCTATCTTCGCACGCTCCCAACAACGCCAGAACCCACCAGCCAGCCGCTGAACACAACGTGGAAAGAATGCATAGGTGGTTCAGAGGAGCCCAGCACAGGGGTTGCGGTCACCACAACACAAGCCCCACGTTTCCTAGCACACAAACCGCATACAAGATCACAAGAAAAGACTTCTGACAGTGGAACATGGGCTGGCAACTTGCCTCAATGCATCGCTGTGACGACTACACACCTCAAAGCCCAAGATGCACAGTGCTGCAAATTGTACTTGTGGCGATGGCTGGTTTGCCATTGGGGACCCTTGGTTGTACAAGCTGCAAGGCGTATGCCTGTTGCCTGTTCCAATATTAGGGCAGAGGCCAGATGGTGGGCATGCAGAGTGACGTTGAATTCTGCCCAGTCAAGATCATTCCAGGGTTGGCGATGTCAAGATCTAAGCCTAGTGCTCAAGGTATGTATGTATGCATGTATATATGTTTGCATTAACAGCCTGTCAGCCAGCATGGGCTATGTCGCCACCCAGCCCCCAAGAGCACGTGTGCATTGTTTGTCTCCGTGTATCCCTGTACAAACGCACTGCCACTTGCCTCTACATTGAGGCCTATTGATGGTGTGCTCAGACACTCCCCTGCTTCTCACCCACAGCACTCCCACACTCGCTCAAAGTGTCGACCACTCAATGGATGCTCTGTGCATCTTAAACATCGCAATGGGCTGCCAAAGAAGCCAGGGCAAAAAACGAAATTCAAGGAACAAAATGGTTTGGACCCCGAGATGAGGAGGGTGCAAGGATGGAAGGACAGCATCGGTGCTCAACCCCAGACACGGAATACTGGTGGGACAAAGTGCTGCACAGCAACGTGCTGGCTCCAGAAGGATGTTGGGCAGATGTTGCAAGGGTGTGCCCGTATCCACTGCTCTCTTGATAACCACAAATTTCTTGGGAGACAATTGCAGTCATGTTAGGGTGGAGGAGGACAGTACACAGTTGTATGGGGCAATCAGTGGTTTCAATCCACAAAGAAACGACTGAGTCACTCAACGCTGTAGTGTGCACTGCGGGCAAGGCAGCAATGAGGTTGGGAGCGTGCGGCAAGATCGTTTGTGTTCCTTGTTTGGCCCAGAGCCATACCTCCAGCACTGCTCCACAACTCAACTGCCCGTCAAAGGGTATGCTGGCATCCGCACACACAGGAGATTCCTGCACAGAGAGCCCAGAAAACCCAAACGACTTGCTCCTAAATTCTGTCAAACGCCCTGGTCCCAGGTTCTGCCTAAAAGGCCTCGCCCCCTTCAAAGCGCCACAAGGGTGAGCCAGCAGCTGATCCAGTCCCTTCAAAAGGGGCTTGGGTCAAAGCCCGTCCACTGTCAATCACCTCGGCCACGCCAGATTGCTACTCCGGGGCGGCGTGCGCGCATGCCAAATGCAATGTGCGCAGCTCGCCTCAAAAGCCACAAGGGCCGGCCCTTGATAGGGCGCCCTATCGCGGGTCCTGCCGCGCATCGCGCTCGCGTCCAACTGCGCAAGGGTCCAACACCAATTCGCGGACCAATTCCCAAGCAAACTCCCAGGCCAACTGCCAGTTCAATTGTCCCCCAGACGGGGGTTGTCCAATGTTTGACATGCCGTTGGCGAGGAAGCAATTCCCAGCCGGCCATTAAACTACGCGGCGCCATGGACCCCGGGCGCCCGCCCACCGACAAGACCTCTCCGCCACAACCTTGCACCGGTCTGCCGGAGCGAGTCGCCCGCTCGCGGGGCGCAGCGGATCCCGCAACGGCGCGTGGTGTCCCACAGCCGATGCCTGCCCCTCGCCGGCGTGCCCCCTCCCATCGGTGCTCCAGGCCCGCCCAACGCAATAATGCCCATGGAGAACGCTGCTCTGTGCGCGACACCGCTCAGAGCTGACCATTCGCTAGGGCCACCGCAAGCGCAAAAAGGCCGTCTCCAAACGAGTATAGGATTGCCCAGACGCCAACCCCCCCCAGGGTCCCCCCCTTCCCCCGCAGACGCCAGGTGTTCGCGAAGCGCAGTGTACCGCAGGCAAGCGGGCAAGCGGCGACTCACCGCGTTGCGGGCCAACAGCTCCGCGGGCCCCGTGCCAGGCGCTCGTTGCGAGTGGTCGCGGATTGACGGCGCCCAGGGGCGCCGGGGGGCCTTTGGGCGGAGTGGGTGGTGTTTGGGCGGCTGTCGCAAAAGGGCGATTCCGGGGCGCTGGGAATCCGCTGACGCCGCCTTCATGACGGGGATGTCTAGGGAGCGAGGTGAACTGGCAGGAAGCCCGACGGAAGTGTGGACGGTTGATCCAGGCGCTCTTTTCTGAAATGATACTGCTGCCCGCACCAAATCGGTGACTGCTTGCGGTAAATCACGTGCACACTATGTCCTAGCCTCAGTTTTAGAGTGAGTTTTAGGGTTAGGATTAGGGTTAGGGCAGGTTTAGGTTTTAGGTTAGGTAAGTTTTGGAGGGAGTTGGTGCATGCAGTCGCCGATTTAGTGAAGAAAGTCACCGATTTGGTGCAGTCAGTAATTGTATGCTGTTCGCAACACAACATAGTGACCACCATTTCACTAGGTGGATCACTTATGCATTATGGTGTGCGACTTGTGTGCACTTCAAGAATACGGTTTACAAGGCATTCTGAATCCATAAAAAGAAAAGAAAAATGCGGTTTATTGTATGGCTGATTGTTGATGGATGATGGTCGTTGTCATGTCAAAAGAAGAGTTCTGTGGGTGCTAGAGAATTCGAATTGTTCGGTTGCGGGGGTCGTTGCCACTGTCGGCAAGGCTCTTCGTTGTGGGAAGGGCGAGCAAATATGTAAGCCCCGGGCGTTTTGTGTGTGGTGTGGCCTTGCGTCTGGCCGTGTGCCAACCCGTTGAGGCATCAGCGACCGTGGATTCGCGCTTCCCGTGTGCACTCCAAAGGGGGCCGTTTGAATCGCATCAACGGCCTTTCCTTCAAGAATGCCCTTTTTTTTGCGGCAGGCTAGGCGTTTCACTGTTGTTTGGAGCAGTGCCACAACATGCAAGGGAAACCGGCCACAGCCGCTCTCTGGCAACAAGCCGGGGAGCAAACCATTGACGTGACCAGCCACATTCGTGTGAAGATCCCATCCCTTTTTCTGGTGTTCCGCAGATCCGTGGATCCCGTCAAGCGCAAGAGAGACACAAGGTAGATTTCAACCAAGCCAAACGTCAAGCTCAGCGCACCTTAACTCAGTTATCCATCAACAAAATCATATCCAGTCTGAGACAAAAGTAGGGTCTGAACTGCTAAAAATACTCAATCGCCCGACATTTTCGTGCACCTGGACAATTTTAGCTATTCGATTTAGTGCGAAAGGCAAGCGAAACCCAGCTCATTTACGCTCATTTATGAACTTGGAGAGCGGTCATCAATCTGGCATGATGATGGCAAGGTCATTTCGATATTCTACAAAATACGAACCTTCTGGGACGTTCAGCTGCGAGGCACATTGATCAAGGCAATGTTCATCCTTAAGGCAACCAGAAATGCTCTAAATCGGCCACTGTCGAGCACACGAACTGCTTTCATGGATGTAAAGCATATGCTTGCTTTCACTGACTCTATGGCCATGAAGTTGAGTGCCCTGTTGTTGAAATGCACCCCGGACATTTCATCGTGGAATAAGTGGGGACTCTTGCTCAGTGATAAGTGATCTATTCAGCGCGGTTGTCTCTGTCCTTTTCGGAGGTGAAATTTTCACTGGTTGCAGTTATCAAACATGACAATTCTCTGCCCTTGCGGCTGCAGGTCAAAGTCGGGGGCCGGATTTGTGATGTGGCTCAAATGTGTCGCCATGCCATGCTGTGGCCGACCTCCGCATGTCCTGTGTGCATGGAATCGAGCCTCCTTGCTTCCCGACGTGCCCCAGGGCGCATCCATGCAAGCGCTCTCAACAAAAAAGCAAGAGATGGGGCGAGCACAAAGGGAGTATTGACTGCTGCAGAGAAATAGGCCAACGAAGTTGCGTCCGCACACGACCAGTTCGTCTCCATGCATTCGCAAGAATCATTCGTGTGACTACATGGTCACCCGCACGCCGTAGGTGATTGCCACTTCTATGCAGCCACATCCTCCAAATCTTGTGTGGGGCCCATAACAGGTGGGCCGTGTATCCTGCGTCCCATTGCACACAGGCAGCAACACCCCAAACATCAAATCACCAATGCACCCTGGTTGCTCCTATCCCTGCTTCCGCTCCCACACACCCCATCCCGAACAATCTTCAATGCATACATCTGTTTCCACATTTAAGATGAAACAAGATACGATTTCTTGACTGCCATCCACATTAAGCAATTGAAGACTGAGAGGCTTCTCCACCACAGCCTTGATTGCCATCGACTGCAGGAATTAGTGTTTAGTTCCAGCTGCAGCTGCTTCAGAACATGCAAGTGCAGAACTAGAACAACAGTTGTGTACCGGCCTCGGCGCCTGCAGCTCAATAATGCACATCACTATGTGCGCTGCACTTGCCCTCTTCACGCCTTTCTCTTCAGCATTCGAAAGGTCCCAGCTTGAGTCTCGAAGCATTGCAGATCCTTGTCCATGTAAACGAACTTCAGGTAGGCGTGAGGAGCTTTGTCGAATGAGACAACTATGGAACCGTCGTCACCCTGCATGCAGGTCGTTCATTGATCCAACACATGCAACGAAAGCAACAAATTGCTGGCACAGGATCAAGTGCTGTCACCCACTTCGCGCCGACAGCTGCCAACATTGTAGGCACTGGTCAAATTCCGATATTGGCGAACCACAACTGGGTGTTCGGTGTTGATGTGAAGCGTCAATCGTGTGCAATTTCCGAATCCAAACATGAAGTGCGGCATTGCGCCACTCTGTGCGGGTGCAATGGAGGAGCCTTTGGACCACTGTATAGTGAAGGAGCAAAGTCTTCGTGAGAATGGAAATTCCAGTCAGTAAGTTGCCGTTTATCACGTGCTTGCATGCTGTATAATGATTAACAAAACGCGGCAGCTAGTGATGCTCATCTTTGGGAGCAATGGTGTGCTGCGTGCTTGCAGCCCAATTTGGGGTACTACATTCCGCTCTTGTCCTTGGTACTGATCTTCACTCGTACAACCTGCATCCCAAGACTTGCACCTGAACATAAAAGACGGATTGTTTTCTGAAACGAATTCAGATTTTTCGAGAAACGGGCTATCATTCCCCAAAGCACGCTGTGGATGTGCATGGAAAACAAGATGACAATACACAATAATGACACCGTCATATCTTGCACTTTGGAGTACTTTGGAGCAGCGGAGTGGGGTTTAGTGTGCAGACAGCGTAGATATTGCAACATTGCACAGGATGTGAAAGAACAATGTTGTGCCACCATGATCCACATCCAACACAACCTGTGTTATTTGATATATCGAAGAGATCTAGGATCTGTGAAGGGCACCAAAAACCTCGTTCTTTCGCATTCGCTGTTCCTGTTCTTCAGCCCCTTGTTTCAATCAGATAGTGCAACCTTTCTCACCACCACCAGAGCACCATCTTGCCGATGTTGCATGTCAATTGTGTATTTGTTTCCCTAAAAGACCCAATCTGGAACACAAGTTGCAGCCATTCCTGGAGAACAGAGAAAAAATGTGAAGGTAATAGAATGGAGAAAAGATCAAGGATAACAGATAAATGAGATGAGTGCCAAGCACTGGGAACGAATAATATAGAATGACAGGTATCTGCACAGCGGGTAGAAGTTATGCAGGCACAGCAAAGTTCAGCGGAGTATTTATGGATTCGGTCCATCCAGACGCACCATCGTTGGGTTGTGAGGGCCCAGCTGTGCCTTCCAGGCTTCAACGTCGGAGGGGTCAGATGATTTGGGAGACACTCTTAGTTCAGAAAATTGGACAAGGATCTTTGATGGATCCTCTTCGTCAAACTCGTACGATCCAGCAACTGCATTCCTTCCTTGGATGCCACTGTTGGTCAGCTTGAAAAAAATATCAGTTCGGTACTCCCTGGAACCACCAGCATCTCCACGTATATTCACCCCTCCCTCAATGAGCGTCTGCATCAAGAAACTCACAACCTTAACAACACAATTCCAGCATTTGTAGATGCAAGGAGAGTGTGAGAAAGCAGCATGCACATCCAAAGCCACAATTATGGGTGACAGAACATGGTGGGGCAAAACAATACAAGAACAAGGGCATGATTTTCTTGACAAACACACTGTTATGACAATACTGCTGTGCGGCTAGTGATGGACGTTATCCTGCATTGAGTGGCCCAAAATATGCACCTATGAACCATGCACATCAAAATGCCCTCGGATCACGGCTTCTTCTTTGTTCCAACGCTGTCCTCAAGCCAGATTGAAGGATGCAATATTAATATCCCAACTCATCTTTTCTCCCATCCCAAAGGATTCTGGCCTGCAAACTGCAAGACTGATGTACACACCACTAAATTTTAGGCAGTTACTGGAAGCCAGCTCCTTCCTCAGTGGAATGGACAAGAAGAGCAACCCAATACCAGGGCATCAGCATGGAAGATACGCTCCATCATTTGTTTCTTTTTGCTCCAATAAAAGAAGAAGCAGAAACGCACCTCCTCTTCTTTGGGCTCCCAGTTGTTGAAGCTCATCTGCCCCAAGGTGCTCTTGCCATCCATAGTGGCATTTTTGAATTCGGTACTGCAAATCTCAACAAATTCGCCAGCCAAGAACTCCTTCACCACGACGTCCTTCCCCTGTTCCTTCCCAGCATTCACCATCAATTCTATTTCCTTCTTGAGTTCCTCTCTTGTGGCCCGCAGCCCCGTTTCTCCAGCTCTTTCCTCCAGGCTCTTGACAACAGCATCAACAGATTCCACAGATGTGCCACACACACGCCATTGCCAGGCCTGAGAGGCAATCAGAAGGTGTCAGTCATTTAGCATTGGCTCCCCCCATCCGTGTTTGCGAAGCGCATTTGCACACCAACGTCCCGTCTAAAGGCCAATAGTGTCTTGGAGCAAGTGGCAGTCAATGGACAATGCTATCCTTCTGATTTCCCCCAAATTTCAAAGTACCAAACTCGCCTTGAATATAGCGAGGTTTGTGACACAATGACAAGATGCACACAAAATGCAGGAGCACATGTACTGAGAAGCACCTGCAGATTATGTTCCTTTTCTTAAGCCTGCCGTTCAGTTGTGCCACAACGCCGTGATGTCTATAGAACATCCAACGAATGGAGGCAGGGACACACTCCTCTGCACAGACCTTTATTGCGTGGACTTTCTCCAAGCCGCTTTCCAACTAACGGCTGTCGAATGATCAGATTCCACGCTGCTGCCCCGATTGGACACGCGACCAGGACGTCTGGTTCAGCGCGCAACTTCTGAACTCAACAACGAGCGGACGGCGTCGTGAGCTAGCATCTCCCCCCCCCCTGCCCCAAGGCTTCTCCCAGCCGAAAGCGTGGGAAGTTCAGCGACGACGGCATTGATCCACGGTCAACATCTCCAACCGTCTACCCATGGGGCCACCGTCGGACCCACATTGGCGTCCTCAGTGGCCCGCTCCACGAACACATTGCCAGATCAGCGTTCTGTCCAAAGTTGCAGCCGGCGCTCCGACACGACAGCCAGAGCTGCGGTGTGCGATACCTGCTTGAGCAGTGGCCCCCGCCGTCGCGAGGGATCGAGCGTCAGGCCCCTGGCAATGAGGGGAGGGGCGTGGGCGGCCGCGGAGCGTCCGTGGGCGCGCAGCGGGGTGCGCAACCCCGCCAGCGGCATGCCCGCCATTTCGGACGCAGTCGCCGAGGGGCTGTGGTGGCGCGCTGGTGTGCACTGGCGGATTTGTGGTCTCTCGCGCTGGCCTTGCGTAACGTCCCACGGGCCCCGGCTTCGAGGAACCAGTACGTTACGTAATGTTTTATGAATTCATTGTTATGTAGTAACAATTTCTTGAGGCTGAAGGCCTGGTAATGACCAAGCGGCGTTCTCTGGATGGAGCATTTGCAATTGAGGTTGTCGAGGGGTGCGCACCCGCCTTGGAGCTTCCAACGTGGGCGCTTCTGGGGACCTTTGTGTATTGCCCTCAATCTCCATGCCTAACTACGAGGGCTGGCTCGTATGCTTCAGTCAGCCCCAGTCAGGAAGGGCGGCCAGCGGCTGAAGCGGGACGATGAAGCACACGGAGGGAGGTGCTGCGTCACTACAGAGAGCCTGGGCCACTCCCAAAGGACCCACCAGAGGTGCGGGGCCATATGCATGGGGCACACTAGTCACACGAAACAATGCTAGCTTTTTGAAATGACCGCGGTATCCACGGGTAATCTGGCGAGAACCCATCGCCAGAAGAAGGTTGCGCCGGAGCGGAAGCAAACAAGAATCAACAAAAATGGCCACCTGCAACTGCACAGGAGATCCTGACAAGCCTGAGCCATTCGGCTCAATAATACTACTGCAATACTGTAGTACTGTAGTAGTATGAATTTAATGGTGACACTCGCCCTTGCAACTTGTGTGCTATTGGTGGTGGAGCACATGCTAATGTGGTTGATAGACATAGAAGATGACGTTGAACCCTTTGAGTGCATGAAGACAGAATGCAAAAATGTATATGTAAGCCTTGAAGATGGCCAAGACGACTATTATGGCATTGCGCCTAGTTCCCATGCTATCACATGATAGCACATGTGCATGCCTGCACACCACCAACATGAATTTGCCACAAATTGCGACCAAGGGCGCCTGGACATTAGGCTGGCGCTTTAGAGCTCGTGGTGGCAGCAGAGCATGGACATGCAAGTTGCAAACCCCATCCCATGGCAGGCGTTGTTCCAGCAAGACACACCACAGTCAGTTGCATGTGGCTGTCACAGAGTCGTGAAGGGGGCCTTTGCACACGATGTTATGATGTTCAGCACACAAAACAGTTGCTGTTCAGCTGTCTGTGCCAAGGTATGCTCTGATGCTGCAACAAAGGCGGTGGTGCCATCATGGCACCACCGCCTTTGTTGCAGCATGGCAGTGCCACAGTAACCGAACCATGAATCAAGCCACTCAACTATCGGAAGCACAGACGATCCATCCACCAATTCGTGCCTGTCCTGGCATCCACTGCCACGAACCAGCAGAAGTTGAATAACAGGAAACAACGCTGGTGCCATTTATTCGCTTTTGTTTTACACATAGTTTGCAAGAGCCCAATCCCAATGAAATGGCCACATATGTCCACCACCTGAGAAGTGTATACAAATGTCTTCAGCACAACGCGCACCGCATGGCACATGGCAGCGGCCACGTCCAGGTCAACTGAGCCTCTTCAGCATATGGAAAGTTCCATTTTGTGACTCGAAGCACTGCACGTCCTTGTCCATGTAGATGAACTGCAGCCATGCCTGAGGGCCTTTTTCGAATGGCGTCACAACAAAGCCATCCTCATCCTGCGTGCAAGGAGGATTTTGCGTGAAGGCACAGTCACAGAAACATGCAATACAACAAACTGGGCAACACAATGTTCCTGAGTTTCTGGAAGGAACCTGCGGCAACAGATCAGGACCTCCACTAGTGCAGCTGAGGTGATACGTGCTGGAAAATGAATGTGGCTGGTATTCCCCCTCCCCAGCATCGACTTGGTGCAGATGTTGGGGCTATGTCATTTATTTAACAAGACAACATAGGCAATATGCTCCAATTTTGACAGCCAGCATTGGTAACGCAGCACCGGATGCCAGAGGTATCAACACACCATTGTTGGGTTGTGGGGCCCGAGGAACTCCTTCCAGGCCTTGACATCTGCAGGATCGGATGATCCAGGACCCAGCCTCACTGCAGCAAACTGGACAATGATCTTTGATGGGTCTTCTTCATCAAGTCTGTAGGACCCGATGAGCGAGCTTTTGCCTTTCATGCCGCTCTCGGTAAATGTGAAGTTGGCTTCAGTCCGGTACTCCTGTGAACTGCCAACTTCGCCACGATTGTTCACCGACGAATCAATGACTGTCTGCACAGCAGTTATCATCCATTAAATGATACAACACTGTTGCATGGTGAAACATTCACTGCATGCACAGTACAACAGACAGTGAGAATTTATGATGCTGAACATACATTGTGCCACCAGACAATTGCTGCATTCAACTCGGTGCACTTTGGCAACAGAGAACGCAATTCAGTAGAATGCCTGACCTGGACTTGCACAAGGCCATTGGGGCTCATTAGGTTGTTCAGGACTGAAGCCATCAATTAGGAGTATCCAATGACTTGTAGTTTTACTCTTTTCGCCTGATTTCCCAGTTTCCACTTTTGGACAGTGCCCAGCAGCATAGGCCAGGGAATGCAGAGCAGACAACTAGCAGCAGATAGGAGCCACCACAGCCTTCAGCGCCCATATTTGCCTTGTGCTGCAATAACTGGGCCTCAAGGAACATAAAACCCAGAGGTGCAGGGACGCTCACCACAGCATCCAAAGGCTTCCAATTCTTAAAGCTCATTTTGCCCAAAGTGCTCTTGCCATCCATTGTGGTAGCGTAGAATTCGGTGCCGATAACCTCTTCATACTGCCCTGCCAAGAATGCCTTGGTCACAACATCTTTTCCTGTCTCTTTGCCACCATCTACTATTGCTTGAATCTGGTTTGCAATCTCCTCCCTTTTGTAACACCTTGTTGGGGGTCTTGCTGCCCCCAGCTGCTCAAGGTCATTGAACAGGGTGTCGAGGGATTCCACAGAAGTTGCACAGACAGACCACTGCAGTGCCTCCATAAACATCAAAGGTCAGACATGGATGGTTGGCGTGTACGTTCTGGCTCCAAAGTATTCCATAAAACGAGAGAGTCAGATTGAAACTACAGGACAGTGGTGTTGCGCATATCTTGGGGGCTTCGCTTGCATGCTGTGCACATTTGGGGATTGACATCCAATTCATGGACACCTTGGATTTCCACTAACATGAGCAGAGGAATGCTGATATCGTCTTGAAACACGGCATCTGACTAGCAACGATTGGGCGCAAGAACAGAGGTATGCTGACGAAAGGGAAAAAAAGCCACGAGGGACCAGGCCCTTGCATCCATCTCAGGCATCAGCCGCCCTCGACGCAACAATAAGCCGCCGGCCAAAAATCGGTGCAGTGGGAGGCGCCTTCGTCTCAACAATGCGACGGATTCTGCCTGCATAATGGGGTACCACGGGCGAGATCGCACAGCATCCATCACACTGTACATGCGTCACAATTACAGTTTTTCGCGGCGACGCACACGTTGCGAGCAAAAGCCACCTTTCCGCCTCCACATGCCTCCTTCATGTTAGAACCGCATCTCTGCCTTTCGCTCCAAAAACCACACGCAAGCCAAGTGAGGCCCCTGTGCGGCGCCATGGGCTCACAGCGTCGTGGTTGCAACAGGCGCGTCCAGGGACGTCGCGGCTCAACGCATAATTTGCAACGCGTCTCTAATCGCAGCGCAATCATCGCTCACAGAACTACGCCGGCCCCGCTGAGCTCCACGGGGCAGCAATGGCGGTCCCGCTTGGTGCCGGGAGCCCGTGGCCCCCAGATCAATCGACGCACCGGCGCCTGTGAATCACCCGTCGATCGCTGCGGCCGCCGGCAGCCGACGCCCCCGACGGGCGAGTGGCGCGCGGAGGCGCCCGCGCGTCCCCGCCCGTGCGCCCGCAGCAGTGGCGAGGCTCCCGCCAGCGGCGCTGCCGCCATGTTGCACCCAAGGGAGCGTGCGGACGACGCCGCCCCGTTTGTACGGCGCCCAACCACTTCCGTTCCTCCCACCACACGCACTAAAACACAAATCCTGAATTAAAGGGACGGCCGCGAACTGAAGAACGGCGCAGGCCTTCCTCACCCCGTAAAAAAAACCCTGCAGAGTAACTGAGAGGCAGCAAGTGTAATTAGCCCGCTACAGTGGACTAATTAGTGGATTGGATGAAGTGAATTAAGCTAGCTGAGCCGAGGAAACTAAAGGTAACAAAGTAGGCCGCCTGCTAAACTACCTACTTTCTCTTGACGGACCTAATCAGGTCTAAATGCCCCCCCTGGTCTGGGTCTGGGTCTGGTGGCCAGTTGTGGGGTCTGTCACTGGCACCGTCGCCTCAGGAGCCGCCGCGGTCGGCTGACGGGTCTGGCGACGATGGCGGGGCTGGCGGCGCAGGCGCAGATCGGCTCGCGATGCAGCGGCTTGTTCGGCGGACAAGTCGCCGCGCGGCAGCCCGCAACCGCTCCACGGGTGGGTGCCGCGACGCTCCCAGCACATTTGTTGGCGGGACGAATCAGGCGGGATGCTTTGCCGGGTGGCCGCTGCTGACCGTCGGCCCCATCTTTGGCCTCGCAGGCTCCCAACATCTCCGTACCTCCCATCACAGCCGGCCTCATCGTGAGTGTCTTCGCCCCAGCCGGCCGTGGGATGATGGCCATGTTGTCTGCTTCATGTTGCTGACACCGCGCCGTAGTGTGCCGCCGGGGGTGATGGTGATAGCCAGGCAGAAGTGGAACCTGGGATCCTGCAGCAGCGTTGCTGCCGAAATGAATTTTGTTAATGTCGGCCAGCACTACACCAGTGTGGCGGAAAACAGCACCCAAATTGTGGCATTCACTGGGTTGCCCATGGCGGTGAGTGAAGTTTCGCCTCTCAACCGTTCTCACCGCTGCCCCTGCCGTCGCGTGTCTGCTTGTCAGGGCCCGGGAAAGAAATGGGAGCACTATGAGACGAACAAGAACGGGAAGGTCGTGCGGGTAAAGATGCACGTGAAGACCGGCGACACAGTGATCGTCGTGGCCGGCAGTGAGAAGGGCAAAATTGGCGAGATCACCAAGGTTGGCTGCACCTCTTCACCTGAAATAAACGCCCTAGCTCAATCAAAAAATGATGAACACGCGTCATAGAATTGCCGACCCATCATGAGGGACAGAAATTGAGAACCTGTTCCCTGCCCAAAACACTGGTACAGTCGTGCGATTGCAGGGAAGTACGCACAACAACAAACAATATTTGGGAGGAATTCATGCATTAAGAAACCATGTGAGCAGTTGTGAACGTTGCAACGTGGGTGGGTTGCTCTCTTGTCCTTGGCACCAGGGCCTGCCTGTTCTGCCAGTTTCAGTCGTGCAGCTCAGTACATTGCACACGGTCAACGAATTTGGGCGGTAGTTCCTGTATGCCCAGCAGGCGGATACCTGTTGACGTGTTCTTTGGTTTTGCTTTGCAGGTGAACAGGAAAACTGGCCAGGTGTTTCTGGAGGGAACAAACATGAAGGTTCGTTACATTGGCTGCCACTATGTTTGTGGGGCATACCTGCAGATATGCACTTTTCCAACTATCAGCGAAGTTCGCAAGCTGTATGAAACATTCAAATGGTTTTGAAGTGTGTGGTAGGAGGGACGGGAACAGGGGAATGTATTTGGAAGGGCTATGTGACAACACCAAGTTTGGGAGCATTGTTTGGTCCTATTATGAAAGGGGTTGCTGATGATGTGGGCAGTACAGCTAGTTCCAGGATTGTTTCTCTTTACCATTATCCACCCTCCTTGGTGCCTGTTTTCGGTTGAATCAACGTGGCGTGTCTGTAACAGACAAGGTATCAGAAGCCCCAGGGCGAAGGCGAGGCTGGTGTGATGGAGCAGAAGGAGTCGCCCATCCACCATTCAAATGTCATGCATTATTCAAAGGAGAAACAAGTCCGGAGTCGAGTGGGCATCAAGTGAGTGCAGATGCACTGTTTGGGCCAATCTGAAAAGTGTATGAGTGAAAGGGACAGAAGACATGGTTGCCTCTGATGAGGTCACTGTGGGGTAGAGGATATTCTGTCCAATAGTCCATGTTGTGGTTATCTTGGAGCGCTGCGAAATTTGCTACCGTTGGCTGATTTGCAGTGATAGATAGGTAGAATATCTGCGCAGTGGGGACTGTTTGGTGAATGGATCATGAACTGCCCAGTTTTGGTACAAGCCAAAACTGCTGTAAACTGGATGCTGATGGACCAGCAAAATGTCAGAGCGATGGTTCTAAGATGTGCATGAAACAATGCATTGCACTCTTCTAGTAGGAAATTTGTATTGATCGGACAGTAATTGGCTTTCAAATGGGGAATCCAAATTGCGGCAGGCCACATTCTTGGCTTGTCAATGCATCAGTCGAAGGCCTCCTCCACCCACACCCACACCCCCTTCTCGTTTTTCGCTAGCCACCAAGAACCCACCAACGCTAGAAACTTTGGTTGAGTGGAGCAGATTGTCAAAGAAGGTGAATGTGCCCTTTGGTTTGTGTGCAAGAGACCGTCCATGTGAGCGTGGGATGTGGGTGAATGCGTTTGGCTGCAGTAGTTCTGAACAGTGTTCTGCATCTGGTATTCACTAATGTGCAATAGGAATGGTACGTTTAGTTGTCCAGGGTGTGTGTGGGGACTGTTGCTGTGATTGCAGAACTGGCAGTGGGTACTTGTGGCTACTGATGTCTTGGTTTCAATGCTGTGTTGTTAACCATGTCCCCAAGTTGTGCGTGGTTCAGTGTCAAATTCTTGTGGACTGTTGAGCTCCTAATTTTTTTCTTTGATGCTGGACTATAACTGAGTGTGTGTTTGGTGCAGGTTTGCAGAGGATGGAAAAAAGATCCGATACCTGAAGAAAACTGGCGAAGTCTTGGATTAGGCAGCTCACCTAGGCCAAAGGCGTGAATGCATATTGATTGTCTTGGGCACTGGGCAATGCGAGGGAAGCTGTATTTGGCTGTATCATTCTGAGCGGGCTTGCATCTTCCACTTCGGGGTTCTAGAAATTGCCACACATGGAATGAGGCAGTTGACTTCTGTTCCCATGACGAGGGAGCAATAATGAGAGCAAGAATGAACGTCAGGATTGTTTCGCACCTCAGATGCCCGCTGTGTGAGCTGTCTTGCAAGAGAGTATGAGCTACAGCTTGAGGATTTTGTGCTGCAGCGAATTCTCAGGTGTGGCCTTTGTTTTACTGACAACAAGTTTCAAAGATCCGCACCACACCTTCCCGTTGGGTGTTGTTGGTGCAGAATGTGACTGCAGCGATGGTACCTGGATATGGCCTTACCTGTGACAAGGGCAGTTTTGCTGATAGTTGATAGCGATTCCATAATTCGTTGATTGAATGCCATCTTAGGAATGCCTTCTTCATGTGTGGCTACAACAGAATTTGTGACCAAAGAGTGTGTTCAGGCGGCAGATACCCTTGCATTGTATTGGACTGCGGTGCACATTGTGCTCTGCACCTGGTCGAACACGGGTCTGGTGCGGTGCACTCACCATCAACTGATGGTCTTTTTGCGCAAACTTTGGTGCGAATCTGCTACATTTCGCAATGTGACAAGGAAATTGGAGAATCAACAGTGGTCCAGAATGCAAAGCTCTAATGCACATTTGCTTGCATTGCTTTTGGCAGGAGCAACTTTTTGCTAGTCCAGTCGATGCGAAAATTGACCAGTCATTCACCACCAGGCGAGGCCACTTTAAGGCCATAGCCCTCGCATGTGTGTGTCGCTGAAGGTCTTCGCAGTGGCCTTCGCAAACACCAGATACGACAAAGTTGCTGTTGGCATATTACGTTTTCTGTTCGCCACACTTGCTGTTGCCGTCATCGACAACGCGAAACAACAAATGTAAATTGTACACCAGGCACGATGATCACGCCACATTCCTACAGCATCTTCGCCGTTCAAACCGGGCACGGTTACACGATTCAACAAGTAGCCGCAAGGAACAGAGCCGGAAGGGCCAATGCGCGCACTGCGCGGCGCCCCTGAGGCTGCGGATTGACAACATAGCCCAGTGTAATGGCATGGGTCGCTTATGCCATGCATGTCGGCAATCGGAAACGGTTAATACAGCGTGCCAAGAATGGTGACATTGGGCGCTGCCCGTGGACTTTGGATGGATCCTGGTGGAGGCTGACCCTATGCCGCTCACTGGCAGTTGCAACAACACCGGAACCCGGAGGCACCATGATGTCGTGGAGGAACAGTCCGGGAAGAGCAGACGAGTGCCCCAACTACAAATTGGCGCTCGCGCTCTGCTTTTGCGCCAAGGCGCCCGGCCGTTCTGGAATTGCTGCAACAGGGCGAGCATCCACTCTCCACTCTCTGGCAGGCCCCGACCACCGTCTGAACAAAGTCCGCTGGTCCGCGACCCTCAACAGCGTGCATTCTGGCGCCGGCACCATGGGGTTTCTGCGATCCTCCAAGCCTCGGAAGGTAATGGCTCACCAATTGAAAACTCTTGTCAGCTGGCGCGCTTCGGTGCGACCCTTTGCAGCATCCGCCATCTTCTCACTTGCCTCCTGAGACACGGCATTGATCGGTGGGGGAGTGTGAAAATTGTGGGATGGAAGCCGACGGCGGCATCTGCAGCGAAACGGCCGAACGCCGTCGCGCAAGTAGCTGTCCGCGCTTGCCGTCAGCAGAGTCAGGGAAGTCTGCCTCCCTTCCCCGTCTGCGGTCTGATTGAGAGTGAAGCACTGCGAAAGAAAGGCACACGCTGCCGAAGTTTTGATATCGGTGCGGCGCATGGGGATGGGCGAGCCCGGGGTCGCCCCCGGGCCCGTCAGTTGGATGGCAGCGGTCTGGGTACCTTGGGAAGTCCAGAGGGCGCCTCGACCCTTCTCAAGAAGGCTGTCGCGGGGGTGATTGCACCAAGTTTGCAAGCTGTGGGCTGAGCGGTATATCGCCCGGGATCCAGGTTCGTGCTTATAGTTCCCGGGGGAGAATTGCGGTGCGCAGACCCTGGACAGAGTTGCGAGCCCTGAACGTCGGTTGGCTTCTCTGTTTCTCATCCGGCCGAAGGCGCTCCTGCAGTGCACCACTGTCCGCCCCGTTTATTACCGTAAAATATTCAACCCTTCCGCATCGGTCCATCCCAACCGTTACGTTTTTGCTCCGCATTTTCGTTCCGGACCGTTACGTTATTTTTCCTTTTGCTCCGCATCGTGTCGGGCGGGCTCGGGGGGGGCTCTAGAGCCTGTATGCCAAGTTTCAGGTGCAACGGACGAGTCCCAAGCCTCGTACGTGCACGCACCGTACGACACCAACCACCCAGCTCTGGGGACGCTTCCCAAGAGTCCTAGTGACTTGCGAGGAGAGGCGCGGCTGTGGACAGTGGGCGTCGAGTGCCATGGAACATGTCCTCTTGGGTGGAGCGACACAGCGTGGCTGCGCGGCGTCAATGGCGCTGTCTGTTCCCCGGGCGCCGCGCCCCCCTCGGGCGCCGCGCCTCCCCCCCGGGCGCCGCGGGGCCCCCCGAGCGCCGCACCCCCACGGCCGGCCGTTGGTCAACGGGCGCGCGCCCGCCGACCGCCCCCACTCCCCGCCCGTGCCATTCCGTATTGGCACCCTCGGCGTCAGCGCCCACACTCCCCGCCGCCCGGATGGCAAGCAGCGGGCGCCTGCATGCCGATCGGTCGCCCATGAGCCTGCCGGGTGGCGGGGAGCGCCGAGAGAATACCGCAAGGCGGGGTGAGCGGCCCACCGTGGGCTTTCGTGTGTCCAATCGGCGGCAGGCCGTGCGACGCGATCGGCTGCCTGGGTCGATCCGCGATGGCGCAGGCATATGCCTGCGATCGCTTCCCGCGGTTTGAGGCCCGACCCGCCCGGTGGGCAAGCGGCGGGCGCCGGCCTGCCTGCCGATCGACCGCCAAGTGGCCTGCCAGGAGGTGCCGGGGCCAAGCCCGTTCCGAAGCCGAAGCCACTCCCCGGCCGTTACTAAATTCGGTTGCTCCGCATCTCGCTCCAGCACCGTTACTTTTTTATTGATCGACTCCGCGAAAAAGGGCCCAGCGTTACGTTACTATGCGGAAGGG